GTTCTTCTCGACTGCGGAGGCCATCTTGTCGAGCTCTCGGGCGCCGCGCGGAGCAGCTTAGTGTGAGATGTCCGAGTCAATTAGCAAGGTGCTCAGCTTGCGATGCTGTACCGACGCATGCAACAGTAGCTCTTGCAATGGACGAGGTGGACCGGTAGCCTCGTTGGATTTGGAGTTTGAGGGGGGAAGGAAGTGAACAAGTAACGGAATTGGAGAAGAGACGCGAGGGTCTCAGGGAGGGTCTCGGACTAAAAAGAGACGAGAAGAGGGAAGTAGATCGGCGACAGGGAAAAAAGGAGGGAGTGAATGGAGAGTGGCCGGACTGTGGCTGGTCGGCCAGTAGTTGGAATACTAAGATAGCTTAGTGAAGAAAAAATTGTGGAGGGTGCGAAGTAGAACAAGATTCGGTAGAAGAAAGACAGAAGGCGGGAAGCCACGAAGCTAAGGTGGGAGGAGGGCAAAAGGTGGCAGTGGCAGTGATGGAGAATCAGAAAGGTGAAGGTTGGATTGGGAATTTGGCACAGATACGTCAGGTTCGCTAGCGGCTACGCCGTGGCATGGATTGGGTTTCCGGTACAAAGCACTTGGTGCGTTTGGGGACTCACCTTACCTTACTTTAGGTGCTTAAGTACCTTAGGAGAGACAGGACGGAACAACAGGCCGATGGGAGTGGGTGGGCGTCACCTCAGGGTGGTGCAAAGTGTACAAGTGCCATGTACAACTTTTTGCCAACTAGAACCTAATGCAAGAAAACGAGTGCAAGTGCAAGTGCAAGTGCGACTGGGACATTACAAGATTACGACTGCAGCTTCAACCGGTTCATGGCACACAAAAGCGAGACGAGCAGAGCAGGGGGTGGAGGGGTTTAACCGTCGGGCAAGGTGCTATGCTAAACCGTAAAGGTACCGCAAGTGCTTGGCTAAGACCAAGATTTCAATGACCACACACACACCTCCCTCATTCTTTTCCGGACATGTTTCTTGATGAATTCTCAAGCAGGAAAGAAAAGGCAATTGGGCACTCTTCGTGTCGGGTAAGGTAGTTTACGCTGAGCAGGCAGTCAGCTTTCCATGATGGTTGATAGAGGTGATGCAGCTTCTATCCTCGGCAGCGGATAACGACGTAATACTCGCCATTACCTCAGCAGATTTCAGCTGGGGGAAACGCTGCATTGGGCCGTGACTGGTCGCTGAGGTCGGGCGGGGGAGCCGCCTACAGCACTTCAGGGCAGCACCCCCTGTCGAGCCAAACCAGCGGGATTGGCTACTGGAGCTTCAAGACAGGGGTTCTCAGCTTGCTTGGGACCTGGCGAGCTGGGAAAGTGCCAGGTTGGGTGTCTTCCCGGAAAGGTTGCACTTGGAATGGAAGCACCAGAGGGAAGCGGGGGGGGGGGGACTAGCTGCATGGCGCTGGCCCGCTGGGCAGGGCAGGCTTGGGGAAGAGCCGAACATCCAGCTTGGTCAGGGTCGCCGAGACCGAAGCTCATTCCTCCAGTTCGCCCACCTCCACTACGAATATCTACGGATACAGAGTGCGGATAACATCTTTCTTACACACACACACACACACACACACACACACACTTTGGTTTGGAGTTGCAAGGTGCGACACCATTCGTCCGCGCTTACTCTTCTTGCCTACATTCCTATGCTGGATCGTGCGCTGATAAAATCCAAGCGTCTATAAGGTGTTGCGTTATCCGCTGCTTGTCGTCTCAACTCCAACCCCTCTGCGACAAGGGATTCAGCAAGTCTGTCCGATCAGACTCCCCGCGCTCCCTGACCCGCACTGGCAGAAGCAGTTCATCGTCATCGGTCGACGCCTTGCTAGTACGCAGTACATCCATCGTTCGGGGGGTTCGATGCCGTTGAAGTTTTGCGGATTTGCCCATCCAAATTCAGAGCTCGATCGATCATCTTGAATCAATCGCAAACTCCAACATTCCTCACGACAACCCCTCCAGCATCAACATTCTCCTCTGCACATACCTAGGTAGTCGTCGGGGTCGTCAGGTAAGTTTGTGGCTGGATGGGGGCCGACGTCCTGGCACACCAAAGGTCCGCCAACGCCCAACGGTCAAACCTGGGCACCCTGACCAACGAGTAAGCTGCCAAACAATGGTCGAATCACGTCCATCCCAGCTACCCGATCCTTGCCGTCAATCCTTCATCGATCGGACCATTGCGAACCGATGACAGGCTCATGACTGACAGGCCACAATCCCACCTACACTAAGCTCAGTGGTTCGCCAGCCAGGAAATGCTGCCCACGATTTGACGAATGCTCATTTCACCTCTCCATGGCCAGTGTCTCCTGCTCATACAACGATGCGAAACAAGCTATGGTGCCGTTGATTTCCCAGTGATGCGAAACAAAGAAAAGGGAGTCGGGAAACGCTGGAATGCGAGCTGCACAGGCACAAGCCTTTGACTTGACGACCCGCAAGCTCAGCCAAGTTAGCCACGGCGTACAGCCTCACCGTTGAGCGACACAGAGCTTGTTGCAACAAGCCCCAACAGCCGTCCACTCATCGCGCCATGTTCCTACCTAGGAAATTTAAGACTAAGACACTTCTCGCCGCCGTCTTGGCAGGTACCAGCCGCTAACCATACCTCGAGAGAACGTGTCTTCACTTCGAGGCGTCCTTCATTTCCTGATTTGTGTACTCGAAACTCTACGTTTGCCAACAATGCAAGAGTCAGGACAGCAGAAGCTAAGGGAAGCAGCTCCGTATTGATTAAGCTAACGCGTTCTGCTAGCATTTGCGATTAGCCTCAACTATTTTCGAGACAGGCTCCGTTCCTGGCGATCTCTGCCGGTAATCAAACACACCGGCATCGTTGGATTGAGACTTACACCTCACGGTCACCACTTGAATTCGGGCGCTATCAACAGCACGTCTTGATCCGCGCGTACATGCGCGAAACGACTCATGCACCCACGAGCCAAGGCTTCTACCAGATCCTATGCAGATCCATTCACTCGCACGCATTGAGTTTCCGATACTCCAATGAAGGCAGATGCCGTTAGTCGTCGGCAAGATTGAGATCATCTGAAGAGAACTATTGCTACACTGTCCACGTAAATGCTACGCGAACCAACTCGGTACTTTGAGCTTGCTCAAAGTTCCGATTTATCAAGGGAGAGTTCTGGGCTAGCACCGAGCCATTTTCCGGTCCCAATCCATGCTGTCTAACCCCAAGTCGTCGTCACATGAAAGAAAGAAAGGCTCGATGCGAGCATTGTAGAAGAGAAAAGATAAGTGAAGGGTTCGCCCGAACAATGAACGACCATCGGCCAAGTCAAATCGCGATCGGTGCATTCTGTCCCTGCAGCATGCAAAGCACACGGTGCCACAACGGGCCCGCACGCAGACGACAATCCAGACGCCCAGCCAAGGGAAACAAAAATCTCCGAACCGCGCTCGTCCTCACATGACAATCATACTTCAAATGCTCGGGTTCATAAGACTCCTGCGCTCAGGACTTAGAAGTTGGATGACGCCTCCTTTTCGGAGTCGGCGGCGACGCTGACGCTGTTCACAGTAATAGTCTTTCCCGACTCACTCGTTACGCGAACGTCGACGGTCTCGGTTCCGAAACCGCTCGAGTTCTCGAAGAAGTTGTACGGCTGGCGGTTGGTCGCTTGCCAGGTGCTTCCGCCATCCGTACTGACTTCGAGCTTCGCCACGGGCTCGTTGTGGTTCAGCACTTGCATGGAGAACCAGTTGGCAGAAGTGCCAGTCTTGTTGTGGAGCTTGATGGGCGATGTGATGCCGCACTCAACAAATTCGTACGAAGTCGAAATGATACCCTCGGAGACGGTTCCGAGCTGGGTGAAGGCGTCTTGGAAGAGGTCGAGGTGGCCCTCGTCGCACTCGGGGCACTGGTCTACGACCATGGCCGTGATGCTGTTGCCGTTGGGTCCAGTGACCTTGACGCAAGCACCGCAGTGAGCGGCCGAATCCCAAGCCTGGCCTGAGAAGGCGGTGCCGTAGAGGCCGGAGGGGATGGTGTAGGTCGAGAAGGAGCACATGCCGCCCGAGGTGTTACCGCCGTAGAAGGTCGACTTGCCCTGCTTGGTTCCACCGCTGCCGATCGGCGTCGAGGATGAAGCCGGGGTGCTGGCACTGCTGCTGGCCGACGATGGGGCAGCCTGCTCCACCACGGTAGCCGAGGCCGATGCGGTTGTTGCGATGACCGATGGCATCTGGACGGGGGTTTCGACGGGTACCGAGCTTTCGACGGAGCTCTCGACGGGGGGTTCGACTGGAGTCGGTTGCACGACCGGTGCCGTCTGAATGGGAGTCATGGTCGGTCCTCCGTAGGTCGGGGTGACGTAGAAGGTGAGGACGGTTGTGCTACGCGGCTTGCAGGACTTGACAGGCTTGGCGAAGGCCATGTGAGCGGCCGAGGCGGCCAACAAGAGAATGGATTGCTTCATTGTGTCGAAGACGATGGACGTGATAACGGTATGTTACGATGAGGTTCCTAGTCAAGGAGGAACCACTGATGGGTTGCAGATTCGATTCGGATAGGGACAAGCTCGGTGTCCTTTTTTTTTCTTTGGATAATGACAGAACAACAGTCGGCAATATCAACAAGTGAAGGAATGACGGACCTCAAAGGGGTGCAGCAAAAGTTCCAGACCAGCGTGGATAGAGAGAGAAAGGGTCAAAAAGAGACTTCACACATAAATGGCAGGATATGAGAACCCTTTTGAGGGAACAGCCCAAAGCAGAAGGGCAGGCAACCATAACACCGTTGTTATTTCGATTTAATCTTACTCAATCCTGCAGAAAGACGGAAGAAGGACAAGCGCCACCAACTGGATAAAAAAACAACGCGCCCGAGAGAGTTTCTCTTACTGTGCCGCCGCCGCCGTCCATCCTACGGTCATACCTTGCCAACCTGCCTCATGGGGGTTCATCCTCGCTCCTCAGGGCGGACGTGCGGACCATACAATGCAGTCCAGAACGCAAAAAGAGGAACCACGCCTCCATGCTCCCGGCGCCGTGGTGCCGTGGGCAGGCATGCGCACTGCTCCGTGGCGAGAGCGTGGCTCCATCTTCATCTAAAATCGACGGGGGGTTGAAACCAGGATATCCAGCGGGGGTGGGAACCCGCGTTGAGGTCAGCCGGCGGCCCTTTTGCGCGCGAAACAATACTGTAAAAAACATGTCAAGACGGACCGGACTGCGCCAAGAGCCTCAATTCGATGACAGTCTCGAATTTCCTTTCGTCGAGGGATGTGGACGATCAGAGGGGTTTGGTGTCACTAATCTAGGGCTGAAAGTTGCAATCCCCGTTCCCCCCTTCCCCTTCTTTGTCAAGAATGGGCTTGAACTGACGTTAGTCATGCTCAACTTCAAGCATACGGCGTGCCATAATACCGCTCATGATATAACCTCCTCCCCCGAATCCCCTCTACTCCAAACAGCCTACCCGGCCCCTCCTTTTCTTTTCCTTCCCGCATCTTGACAATAATCCGATGAACGTATAAGGGGTGGTGGGGTCGTAGGCTATGGACAGCTGAGTTTCATGAAACATTGTATACCTTACGGATACACAGGAGGTTTTTTTTGAAGTGTTGATCGGGTTCATCCAATCGTTCTGTTTCGCTCCGCACTGTCCAGTGACGCAGAGTCATTTCTTGGGATTGATTTTGCTTCTGCACTGCCTACGGATTCAAAGTGCGCGAGATGGTTTACTACGAAGTTACTAACGGATTCCGCGCATACAACTGCCCGTCAGCAGCGTCCACCCCTGGCGCGAGAAATTAAGACGGAGGTGAGTTGTTTTTTCCTGCTCGGGACTTTTGACCGTTGAGGGATCCGTACACTACTAGAAAAACCGGGCAGCAGTCTGTCTGCCAGTCGGCGAGTTCAAGCAAATGAGAGGGTCGGAGACTGAGCAGAAAATTTTTGTCGACAACTGGTGAAAAGAAATAAGCTCATTATCGGATTTCCGGTGGGTGAATGCAGGTCGGCGACGTGTGTTATTGAATGACCTGGTTGGACCTTGTCGGCCCCCAAACTTTCAATACGTTTCCTATCTGTATCTCTCTTTCTTCCCGTCACCTCTCGCAAGCTTCATCGCCTTCTGCTTCTTACTCTGTTTCCATCATGTACCCTCGCAAAACAGCATTCTTCTTTCTTGAATCAGTGAATTGAGAACCTATCGGCTACTTCAATCTCTCCCATTCCCCCTTCCTCCTTCCCGGCTAGGTCGGGCCAGTCGGCGAGGGTGGAGTCTATGGAGCATATGCCAGTGGGAAACCCCGGGGACTCGCAGCAGGGATCCTTTTTTGCGATCGTGCTGCCCTGGCATGTTCTAGATCCCTCTCCCCCTCCTCCCTCCTCCCCCCTTTATCGAACCCCCCAAGTGGGTGACAAAGTCGATTTCCTCCCATTCAACTTAGAAGGTGCTCTTTTTTACTACTTACACTACAGAGAGCCCCTATTTTTACCTAAAAATTTGGGTATATATGTTGTAGTCTACTCTCTATCTTAAACCAATTTTTTTTTAAAAAATATTAATTTATATAGCCATGGTAGTGTATATTGTGGTAGAAAGTGACGGCAAAAAGGCTCGAGCGGAGATCCATTTTGTCACCCACTTGCCCCCTTGGGCCCTCGTCCTGGAGGTGGGATGTTTCCGCGTCTTGGCCAGCTATCCGGACAGATACTGAGCTGTCACTGGACGGTAGACACTACCTGTCCGGGCTTCTTAGACGCGGCAGAGAAGTAGTAATTCGCGGGCACTCGTGCGTGAATGTTCCAACGACGGGGGAACATCGCCAGTGGATGTCCATGTCTTGGCTTTTTGGGGTTGGAGGGGGGAAACAGTCTCCCCAAGCGCCGAGGGGCGGAAGGGGAGGAAGGGAGGGGCCGGTGAACGGATGATCACTCTGCTCAAAACGTGGTTGACGTCGAGTCAAGGATACCTACGTAGTAGGACCGGTCCGAACGTCGAAAGCAAGCGAGTTTTGACCAAGAGAAAGAGTCCACAACTACGCTTCTACCGAGACAATGACGTCCGTCGCTTCCCCTTGGAGTCCGTACCTTGAGGTAGGTAGGTATCCGTACACTTGCCTGCTCGAAACCATGGGCTATTGGCAGTGTAGTGGCACAAGTGGATTGCCTCGTAAGAAGTTGTCTTACAACATGTAAACGACGCTTCGTGTTTCTCTCGTCGCCTCCTTGTTCCCCACGAATAAAACTAAAAAAAAACTCTCCATTTCCTCCTTAAGTTGAAACGACCGTGGTAAGGTACTGGTTTTCAAATGGAAGGCGGCCAAGTGGGTGCCGAAGTAAGCTGCCGCTCAACGCGGAGTTTCCTTTCTCTTATCATTACTCTATCGACACTTCTACGATCCTCATTACTACTTTTCCTCGTCACTGTTGCCTTCCATGCTACTGTCCTCATGACTGCTACCCTCATGACTACTATCCTCATTGCTGTCTTACCTAGATACCTCAATGAGGTTACGTATGGGATATACATAGAGAGGTAGCTCCAAAGAGCAGTAATAGTAATGGAAAATGAAACAAAAATAGAGGAGTGGCGGGAGTGGTCAAAGAGACTCGGATTCACGAGACAGAGAAGAGCGAGACTTGAATGTGCATAGGCGGGCCAAATCGCCACAGGCAGGTAGGCATGCGTCCCATTGTTAGAAGCAAACCTAACATATCTATCTAATCTGAGTGGTTGGTATCTCCATCGAGGGGAGTGAGAGAGTGACTCTGTGCAACGACACGCCGCCTCCCCTCCCTCCATCCGTTCGCTTCAGAAGTATTTACTAGCAAAAGTATTATACCCTGGCACACTGGCTGACATGTATATGAAAAAAAAAACGAGGCACTGTGAGCCATCAAGTCCACAAGAGGAAAAAAGCAAAAAACAGTCCCGACCATTCTAAATACTCACATCCGCTGACGACGACCGCTACCCAGCATCAACTCATATCATCCGTTCCGATAGCGTTGTCGCGGCGGGTCCTGGTGAGATGGGATGCTGGTCGCTAAAAACAAGCAAACGAAAGAAAGCAAGCATCGTTAAAATGAAAGACTTGGTTAAACTGAGCGGCTCCTATGCAAACCGAAACGCCGAAAGTTCGAAGCATACGAGAGGAGAAGTAACAAACCGACAATACGAGGTATCAATAGCCAAAACTATCATGCTGATGGACTGGGCACCTTCCAGGATGGTTGATGAACCAAGCTGAGATACAAGATCGGTGGAAACGGCAGAGGCACTCCAGACGCGCCATGGGAACGCCCACCTCGAATTCCTCGAGGCAAATGGTGCACTCGGCCGAGTCGACACAGTCCTTTTCTGTGGCGACATAAGGGAACATACCAGTCCGGCGAACCGCCAAGGGAGGCGGCGTTCCGACTGGAGGAGTCTCTCCTGTCGGTGTACCGCCGTAAGCGCTGTGTGAAGTGATGCAGGTGTTGATGTGCGTCTCTCGCAGCTGCTCAAAGTTGGGGAGGGTGCGAGAGGGCAGCTCGCGATGGCAGACCGGGCACTCGTCTTCCTCAGCTATTTGGGGCGGCGGCGGCGGCAATGCACGGTTGTAGTGAGACGATGAGGATGACGAGGGACCAACGTCCAGCATAGATCGATAGCGGGATGAGCCTGGGTAGCCGGATGAGGAGGACGGGTAGTACGTCGGCGGAGTCCCTGCCATGATCCGACTTCCAGTGGACTGGTAGTGTCCGCGAGAGCTCGAGGGACCGCCGGAGCCGGAGTGCTGCACAAGTTAGCATGCGTATTAATGGCATGTGGGCCCAGGTTCACTTTTACCGTAATGCTTCTAGACCTTGCATAGGTCTCCGGGGAGGGGCTCGACGTGAAGTAGCCGGAAAAGCGCGAGGGCGGGGGCGCGTTGCTGGACATTGTGCTAATGCTGCTTTGCGATCTATAATGCGATCCTCGTGGAGACAATTGGGAAGGCGAGCCAAGTGGCTGCTGCGGCGGTGTGGTGTTTGGGTCTGGGACGCATGGGTTGCATAAACGGACGCGCTCTCCTCCACCAAGGCTGCTGAAATCTGCATATCCTCCCTCACCACTGATGAGGGAAGATGGGTATCTCTGGGCCGCCAGTCGCGGTTGTCCTGGCGCTTGAACAATGTACTGGTAGGGAATAGTGATCCTATGAGGCGAGCATGCGTTACAAACGACTCTTCCACATTTCCTGCAACTGATTAGCAACTACGTCACACAATCCCTCGACTTCTACATACCTGCAGTGATGTTTCCTAACAAATATGCTAAATTGTACGTTGCAAATCGGACAAAGAACGACCTCTGCGTCTGGTTGCCACCGTGGAACGACGAACTCGGGAGGGCCGCTTCTCTCTTCAGACACTCGTTGGCTGCGCAAAGGAGGCTGAATAGCAGTCGAGGAACTTGCCCGTCTAGGTGGCGGAGGCGGCGTATCGTGAGATCGACTGGATAGTAGAGCTGGACGCAGAGGTAAGTCGTGCGACGATGCGTTTGCCGCTTGCGATGTGACCAAGCTCGAAGATCTTTCCGGTGGGACAAACTCTCCTGTTGGCGTTGCAGGTGTTGCAGTCGGGGGGAGAGGTTGAGAAGTCTCTGAAAGTCGAGAACTCAAAGGGGTTGGTGGTGCCGGTGCGGCTTCCTCGGGATCCTGAGACTCATCAGGCCCTCCAGTATCCCGTGCTGAGGTTGCCTGTGCTGAATCTACTGGTTCTGTTTGTCGCTCCATATTCGTCTCCTCGGGCCCGGGCGTAAAGCTTGGTGCTGGGGCCGGCTCCGGAGTATCTTCAGGCACGGGAGAATCGACAGTGTGTAGCCTCGCGCTTGATGAACTTTCGGCCCTATCGTCGCCCGTCTGATACTGCACTGCAGGCTCCTCCTCAGCCTCACTGTCGTTGGCCTCGTCGTCAGAGAGCTGCCTCTCGACTACATGTGTAGGGCAGTCGAAGAAGCGGGAACATTCCATATCGTGGTATCGAGACGTCCGCCAGCGACATTCTCCCCGGTCTGAAGAGTCATCTGAAGCATCACTCCCGATGTGGGAGCTGCCCGATATCGATTCTCCTGCATCGTCGAGCAGGCGGTGATGATTGTCGAGGGAAGCTGGAGCAGCTCCACCATCTGGGCTTGCCATCTTAGATCGTTTGCATCGTCTCCTGCGACTCTATCGATATGTACGGTCGCGGTGGTGGTTCTTTTGTCTCGAGATAAAGCTCGTCGTTAAAGGTTCCGCATCAATCAGTCGATGTCGCGAGCGAGTCGTGGACGAACGACAGTCAGGCTGTTGACCAGTGATAAGTCAGCATGACGAAACAAGAGTCAATATCCGAGATGGTGGGGTCGAATGTTACCTGAACTCAGTTAACCAACGGCGGTCGGGTGCATTTGCGCCTCGGTTTCTGTCGACGGCGAGGCGATTAATATGCAGAATATGCAGGAACCTCCTAGGTGATGGATGGAACAGGAATATTTGGAGGGGCAAGTCGAGGCACACGAGCATGAGCACATGCACCTCTTGGAGCCACCCTAGTAGGGAGGTCCACGGTTGGATGCTTATCGCGGCCTAGACCTTTCCCCCCGCCTTATCGCGCGATTGGCGCCAGCTATTAGATGTGGCGCGGGGAACGACCCATTCTTGCCATTCCAGGCGAACAGGGATCGCCACGGTGGCTGGGGTCTCCCAGCTTAGCTAATTTCATTGCAGCTTCACTTTCGTTGCCAACTTCATCAACACCGAATACAATTTGTTGCATCTTCAGTAGCACATTTTTTCAGCCACTCTTTTATGTATTCTTGATATTGAATTGGGAAGCTACAACACCCTCGTCTTTATCGCCCTTACCTCAAGACACTTGGGGCAGAAGCGCGTGTTTTTAACGTCGCGGGCCCCCTCGAGCTTATGCGCGTGCTTACAGGAACCGTTGATAGCGTAAGGCTAGTGATATGAAGCTTTTCTCTCTAACCCCGGATCTAAGTGATTGTTCATGTTGTACCTTGTACAAGTACCAGGTTGAGTGTGAATATCTCGGTTGCAAATGAACCAGTGACAATACCACTCCATAGTGTTGAGCGTTGACTAATCGACAGAAGCCTATTCCAATAGCTTTGTTGAGTATCAACACCTTACTCTACGCCACAGGAAACGACATACACAGTATATTCCAAAGACGTTCAGAATAGCCGCCTCAATATGTCTTGGTCTGGGACCCATTGCCGAACCTCCATTGATATCGATCTGCCAATGAGCGACCGAATCCACGGGGAAGGAGAGGCGACGGAGTACTTGAGGTCTCATCGAAGCTCTGTGGTTGCATAGCTGACGTAAGTAGGCAGCAACATTCATTTCGAGGCACAAATACTGCTGGATCACAAGACTGATGGAGCAGGGAGTTATAGGTCACAGATTTGAAGGAATCAGCACTCCCGGTGCGGTACGAATCGGCCGGGGCCACGTAGCCTGGTGGTTAAACGGGTGATGAAGAAACTGGGACGCTGGTTTTTCGTACGTATGGGTTCGAATCCCATACCGAGCTTTTTGGGGAATTTTCTTGCATATTCCCTAAGCTGGATGGTATATAGGTCACGAGTTCAAGGGAATGAGCAATGCTCGGGGGTCAAGTACGTATCCCCGAGGCCACGTAGCTGAGTGGTAAACATGCATGAAAACCAGTGGAGTCTTCGTAGGTACAGGATTCGTGTAATGCGTTCGAATCCTGTGCTGAGCTTTTTTGTCTGTTTATATTGACTTGCCTTTGCCAGCTGGGCGTACACTATCACTTTGATGATTAACATCCTCCTGGTTCTACGGGGGTTTTCCAAGTTGATTGGATTTTCATTTGTACAAGCACAACGATGACGCGAAGTCAATATTCGTAAACCTCGAGGTAATAAACTCGTGTTTCCTTAATCCATACGGTTGCCGGGGATGTTTAGCCCGTAGCCACAGGTGCAGCACATTCCATGTTAAAATAGGACATATCCCCCATCCGTCTGTCTGCCTAGATATGAAGGTGGAAGTTCTGCAACTTGTCTGAAAGGGCAGAATCGGTATACCCAAGAGCAGACCGAGGGCAGTTAATTTCCAAGAGACCTGCATACATAAATGCGTCTTGTCGCATGTTCCTGCGACCTGGCTCACGAAGCTTAATCAGTTTGACTTCTCTATAAAATGTGCTGTGGAGAGATACCAGTAAGCCTGAAAGGAGTATCTCATAGGCTCCAAGCATGCTGCCAGTTAGCAAATAGATGGAGGCACCTGCAGGCAAGCAATACACTATCCTGATGCTGCTCATGGTTACACACATCCGCCGTTTCAACATCTCTTGGTAATCAAAGGTTGAGAATGGATCCTGCCAATCAATAGTATTATCCAGGAGTAGGAGCAAGCAAGTGGTATCGTTTCTAGGAGTCTATCAATAATGCACGTCATGACTTGTCTGCGCCCATCTTCATCTAGGGCTCTTCTAGCCGTTCGTGTATCTCCTTGTCATTACTTTCACAACTGCACCTTCATACCCCAGAAAGCGTCCAACTCGCGCATAATGTACTCCGTCTTGGTCATCACAAAGTCGTGACCCCCAGGAAGGACCTTCCACGTCACATTTTCCTCGCTACCCAACAAGGGCAGTCCATCCTTGGCATAGTGACCAACATCAATAACCTCGTCCGTCTTCCCGATAAAGACCGCCGTGGTCCCCTTCTTCCTCTGACCCAAGACCCGCCACGTCTCGTGCTGCCCCGTAAGCGGCGCCCACCGCACACACGACATGAAGGCCTTTACGAACCCCTCATGGTGCGCAACCATCCAGGGAACGTACTCGCGCACTTTCCGCTCGACCTTTTGATCCTCTCCGCTGCCGTGCGGCCCAGACACCTCGGCGGCCGCGACGTCAACGACCTTCTCGACCGGGTCCTCGTCCTCCTCGACAGCATTAGACCGCTTACTCGCCAACGGCTTCTGCAGCCTCTTCCTCGTGACAGCAGCGAGGATTCGCTCAGGCACAAGGCCAGACTGGAACGTAATCTGCGCCAGTACGCCAAAGTTCTCGGCGCGAATGAGGCCCGCGGGCGCGAGCAGAACGAGGCTTTCTACCACGTGCGGGAACGCCGCTGCAAAGGAGGCGGCGACGGCGCCGCCGAGTGAGTAGCCCACGACGCGGACGGCGTCAGTGCCGGACCAGGCGAGCGGGGAGGAGGCGAGGGCGAGCAGGACCTGGGTGGTGTACAGGCGGGTGTCGTGGGGGAGGTCGCCGACGCCGTCGGAGAAGCCGCGGCCAAAGAGGTCGAAGAGCATGACGCGGCAGCCGCGGGCGGCGAGGGCGTGGGCGATGGGGCCGAGGGTCATGCAGGAGGTGCTGATGCCGTGGATGAGGACTACCTTGGGCCCGGTGGTTGAGCCCCATTCGTAGACGCGGATCGTACCGTACTGGAGAAGATTGTTAGTCGTTTCAGTCGGGACTGGAGACAGCATCCCTCTATAAGAGACAGAGATGGGTGCTGGGGGATATCTTACGGGCGTGTCCACATCCCGAGCGCCAGGGAAGTAGTCTGGGTGGTAAGGAAGCTTCTTGACCTCATCGCTTGTGAGTGCGGGGACCTTGGTCTTGAGGGGGTTAGGAATTGCGGTGCCCCAGTTTGGGTAGAGGCCGAGTCGCGCAAGGGACAGGAAGGAGAGCGTCGCGATGACGGTTGTGGCCACGATCGCCGCCGTCTTTGGCTCGATGGACGCGCTGAATAAGGATTCCATCTTGCGAGTGAGTGGGTGGTGTGGGAGCGACAACTCCTAGAGACTCGGACTTTCGTGATCCGCTGGTGATGTATATGCCGGATACCACGGATCGCAAAATGAGTGGTGGATCCTAGTGCACCCGGAACGTGGGGCAGATCCCTAGCCAGAGAGCTTTAGATTTGTTTTCGCCGCCGTCTTTCTGAGTATGAATGCACAAAATAGGAACAATTGTGTAAGCAACGAAAGCTCCAACAGAGCGCGTCGTTTGGGAATCTCAAAAAGTAAAGGATGACGTTGGTGAGGCTGAGCCGAGACTTGTCGTCGGTGTTCGGTGCCCCGGTTGTACGGCGGGAGTCGCGCGTTGGTGGAAAGATCGGCGTCATTTTTTTTCCCTCGCGAATCAACAAACTACCTAGATCGGCCCGGGGAGGGTCCCCTGGCAGCGGCCGGATCCCTATCGCTGGCCCCACGTGGTCCTGTCAAAAGTGGAGATGACAATCCCGGCTGGCAGGTAACGGTCGGCACGGGATCTGTTCGGGACAGGTAGAGAGAGGGCCGTCCGACCTCGCCGCGTACGTATGAGGACGCCTCTGTGGTCACCCTCGACTTCATGACGTTTGAGCTTCTTCTGTAGTGATAGGATCTGGCATGATCTAAGGTAACTCAGGTTTTTTTTTTTGGGGGGGGGGGGGGGGGGGTTGGTTTGGAATCAGCACCTGTTGCGAAGTGCAGGACTGCCAAAGCTCGTTTTCGGCAGCATTCGAAGCGACTCGGCTCGGGATATGTATAAACCAGATATTCCGACGATACGATGGGTGGTAAAATAAAGTCTGCACGCAACTCATGGTTGGTATAGTACGATATATAGGTTTTAGAGCCTATCCATTTTATATCTCGACAATTCAATTCAATGATTTTTCGCAGCAGTGACAACCCTTTTCGTCACAAAAGCCTTTTTATTTATTCGATTTTTAAAACTAGAAGACGATCAGGTCATTGCCAGCATTCGAATGAGGTACCAAGGTAGCCTTCCCTTCGTCACATAAGTGATTACTTTCCTCGAGAACGTGTTAACTCCTTCAGGCCTACAATTCGAAACCCGGCTTCGTCAACATCGGCCCAAAAGAAAGTTGCAATCTTGATGGTACACATCAAGTCTCCAAGGCAAGGGTAATTGCAGAAAACCGAACCCGAACGTCGGGTCGTGTCGCGCTCTGTAGAGTATCATCAAGTCGCAAGCCAAGCAGCCTCCCCATCCCTCCCATCAGCAAGGGGTTAATCTATTCTACGCATATCACATGAGGTATTTTCACTCGACGTAAATGCTCCGAAACCACTGTACTGTTCATCCCTTGGCGAATGCACACCCACCGCCAAATATAAAGATTGCCAAGGAGAGGGAAGAAGCCCCCCAAACCACCCATCGAACTTGCGGTAGTATTCATCCGAAGCACGCATACGTGGGTAACTGCTATGGTTCAAGGTGAGAAATCTTTAGCCGATACTCCGCATTACTAGTATATCTATATTCCCGTGGTTCACTTTCACCAAACACCACCCATACACGCTCTACCAATTTCGTCCCGCAAACAGCCTTGTCTCAAGAAATGAACGGATCCACGGGACGCAGTTACAACTGGCAATTTTTTTTTTCTCTACCTTACGCACAAGCCCCATTCATCATCATCAGCATCAGCATCAGCATCAGGACATTTCGGTATCCCGCAATCGCAAACGCTCATTCCATTCTAGGACCGGTAAGAAACTCCCATCTATCTATGCTCGTCCCTGTCGTTCGGCCAGGGGGTGGGATGAAGGGTATGAGCTTTGAGCTTTTTTTCTTCTTCTCTCTCCAAAATTTCAGGTACGGAGTACGTGCGGATATTCCAACGTACGTGCGCAGTTTCCGTACCTCATGCATCTTTGGTTACCTACGGATACTGCGTGCAAGATCATCACCCACCCCCATGACGTTCGGGTCGGGTATCGAACCAAGCAAGACGCAACAAAAATGGGGTGTTTCCTCCTGGTGTGCTATGATCTCATGGTTCATAACACGCAGGCCTCAACCATGGTTACTCTTCTTCTTCCCTGGGGGGCCTGGGCAGACAGAACTTCGGTTGGAAATTCCCTGCTTCAACGAATACAGGAACCTGAGCACGGGAAGGCGAATAGCAACGGGCCAAAGGGCCTACAGGTCAATGGACGCATGAACTCCCGAATTCGGTTTCGCATTCTCTCATGGGAATGCCTGCCAAGCTCGGGTTTAAAAAAGATGGCACACCTAGGTATGCAACGGTACACGTAAACTTTTGCCGGGAAAACTCAATTGCAACACAAAAAGAGAAAAGGTGACCAGTCACCACTACATTGACGACTCAAGAAGCGCACATCAGCCGCGCACTCTTCGCTACAATTCCGCGCTTGAATGTACGTACTCCGTACTCCGATAAATCTGAGCCGATGGACGCCGGGACACCCCCCTATCTCCTTCCCGGGTTCCGTCGCACCTCAATCTATCCGTATGTAGACTTGATATCCACTTGTTCCCAGCGCGGGCTGCGCGAAAACTTGCCCCGTTGAATGACACCTATCGTAAGAAGCAAGCATACACTCCGTAATATCACAGATGATTGTCCGTAGAATCCAAAGTATCCATCATCCCGGCATCTTATGACTCGCGGCATATGGGCAGAACGGGACCGGGATCTAGGTATACGGGCACCTAAGTGCCAAAAGTGAACGAAAAGTACTTCGTACGAACAATATCGGTATGCGAAAAAGTTTCCCCCCTTGCCCACCTACGGAGTTCCGAATCTAGTGTACTTTGCATACTCCGTAATAAGGTAGTTCACTGCGGAACAGCTCCCGTGCCCGGCAGGCATGGAGGATTTACCCTACCTTACTCTGCGGGTATGGAATACAGGCTAGAACGGTGAACCAACCTAACACCTTACTCTCTGCACGGATGCCCCGCGAGGAATAATAGCACAACCTGGAATTGTTTAAGAAAGAGCCCTATAGGGCGGGAAGCAAAAAAAAAGGGGGGGGGGGCTGTGCAAAGCATTTCCCATCACCAATCTCTGGGTCGGTATTTCCGATAAATGGATCGCCCCTATGCTCGCTGCTCCCCTACTCCGTACATCTTTGCCGCGATGCCGTCGTTACCGTGGCTTGGCCCCAAACGGAGGTGTCCGACTCGTTGATGCTTGACGCAGCCACGGCTGCAGACTTGTGGCTCAACTTGCTGGCCTTGAACACTGGATACGGCATCATCTTTCTGCAAAGACTGTGAAATGCAGCATTGAACCATGTTGAACTTCACATGGTGGGGCCAGTCCGATGAGAAGTTTCAAGGCCACCATGTCGGAAGAGGGGGCGTCCGTCTGTTCTATGCGATTGGAACCTTTGTTAGTCGTCCAAAGATGAGCACCGAATGGTGAGCTTAATTGCTCTTCCGAAGAGCAACCGAGTACACCGATGACGAGAGAGAAGAGACGATATGTAATTCAGCTAGCTCATGGCTAGACATGTTGGTATTGTAGGCAATATAGATTGATGCGATTCCAGAAGCTGGCTTTGAGCACAGTATTCCTTTTGGAAGAAGCCGCAAACAGATACTTTTTTGATACATGGGTATACAACCAACCGCCGTTTACCTCTAGACGCCCTTCGTGAAGTTAAAAAAAAAAAACAGAAAAAGAAAATGGCAAAATATGCTCGTGATAAATAGCAACAACAAATCATCATGACATGCCGACTGCCCAGGCAGCATGACCTAGCTGCTTGATCAGCAGGCACAGATTCTCGACGATGGGCGGGTGAAGATCTGCCGATTCCCGGAAGTTGGCCCGGAGCACTTCCTGGGCCACTTCCATGCACGCCTTGGGATCGTCGAGCGACGCCTCGGTGGCGCCGGCCCTGCTCATGGGTCCCAAGATGACCGGCCGCCCTTGGTTGAAGCCAATAAATCGGTGCACCAGGTTCGACTCGGTGCCGTCCAGGAACACCTTCTCCTGCTCGTACCCCTGCACCGGCGTCTTCCCGGTTCCGCTTGTTTTGGCAACCACACCGTAGGTCCAACACGCCAGAGCCGCATGATGGACGGCAATGGCATAAAAGTCTTTGAGATGACCCTGGGGGAACATCTTGGCCTGACGCAGGATCTGGCCCGCGTGCCAGAGTGACTGGCGCGCCTCGGCGCTCTGCGACCACTCGCGCAGGTCACCGAATACCCGACGCGCCTGGTCCTCGCCTTCCTTGCCAGAGAAGAGCTGTAAATCGTTGAGAGAGAGGTGTAGGTTCATCATGAGGAGATGGAGCACCAGGCTCTCCTGCGTCGACAGCATCTCGTGCCAGTCAGATGTGACCAGCAGGAAGCCCTGCAGGTCTTTGCATAGCTCCGCATGTCTCGAGCGCAGTACTTCCTCAGACTTCCCTCCAGAGTTGTTCAGCCAAGTCCGGGTGCGCAAGACGGAACACAGCTGGAGATACTCGAGAATCAGCGCCCAGTAGCCATGCAGGTATATCGAGATTGCAAATTGCAGATCCAGTCGCTGGCGGTTCGTCGCCAACAGACTAATGTCTCGGAGGAGATCGCCGATGGAAGGTGGTCGTTTGCTCTGTCCGTTTGTTCGCTCGAGATAGTGCATTTTCCATTCGGCCGCTGTCTTCGCAAACCACAGCTCCTTTGCTTCAGGGAGGGGCAGGGTGAGTTCCGAGTACGACATGGAGGGGTTGGTGAGTGTTGTCATGGAGGTCTGAGCGTCTCGCACGAAGCAGTGGAAAAGTAGTCTAAATGCGTTAGCACAAGGATATCCCGGACCTTGGGTCTATAAGCTTACCTCTTCCACGACTCACGCTCGCACCAGGCCCTCCATTTTTTCTCCAAAACTTCGCCTTCGTCCGACATATTGACCTCTACCATGGGGTACGATGCTCGCTGGAATTTGCCGCGATATCTCATCATCTATCCAAAGCATTAGCAACCAGGCTGTGGGAGACCGAAGCTCAAAATAGCTACTTACCGTAATAGGAATCATGAGATGACATTCGGCGATCTCCATCTTGCGTCGGTTGCCGCTCCACAGACCAATGTCTTGGCCCAGGATCAGAGTCTGCACAAGACCGAGATTTTTGATCGAAGTGTTGGCATCCTCGAACCTTGCCGGGATGGTAACTCGGACCGCTTCCTGGAGAGCAAACCCAAACTTGCGCAAGGTTTGCACCGGAGTGAGGGTAGCCCCAGCTGAAGCTGCCACAGCTAGCCATTCCGGCCACTGGGCGTTCATGGAGAACGAGCCGTGGTGAATCCATTGTGACGTCTGGCAGAAATGTTGCGCGAGGAAGATGTGGATAAGGCTGTCCATGACCTCGAGGGACGGAAAAGAGGATGCGACTCGGCTCATGATGTTGTCGTTTTTGCAGGTCGACAGCACGATCGCCAATATTTGATCCCGGCCTGACTGGTCCAACTTGTCCCTGACGATTCTCGCGTGCTTCTTCCTGCTTTCGTTAAAGACAGCGCTGCTTGTGTCGTCAGATGGTACGGAGAAGTTTGGGTGCTCCAAGTAGCCTGAGTCGAGCTTGTTGGGCGCCCATTGCCATGGCGACTCTGTCCAGACCTTGACGAGTGTTTGGCGCATTTGAACCAAATCGATGGAGTCGTCGGTCCGAGGCGTGAAGCTCTGGTTGGACCCGGTGTTTCCCATGCCATCCATGTTCCAATGATCCAGGAGGCCAAAGTCCACTTCGTTTAGTTCGAGATTCGAGTTGTCGCAAAAGTCCAGGACAGCTAGACCCTGTGCTTCCGCCATGCGTGATGCATCCATCTCTCCTGTGTAGATTACATTTTGGAGGAAATCTGAGAAGGGTAAAGCCATGTCTTGCTGGTGGCCGATTTCGTAGTTGACAGGCATGCCGGACGCGTTGACTTGTCCCATGGCATTTTCTGTTGTTGGTATGCGGCCTGATTCCGACTTAATGGTATGGGCAGGTCCTAGCTGGCCACCATCGTCTCTGGGTGGTAGCATGGCATGCTGAGGACCCTGTTGGTATGCCGTTGAAGGGCTGCTATCATAGGCAGACTGTGAAGGAGATGTGGCAAGAGATCCGGGCGTTGATGTTGTCTGGTGCGGGTTCCCCGAGAGGTGAAGCAGGTGCATGGCCGCAGCTGAGCCAGCTTCGGTGGAGGAGTACTCGCAGTTTAGGTTGCGATTTCGGCAACGCGTGCATGGCTTCTGCTCCTCGCACTTGACGCGAGCCGTGGCGCAAGGTCTGCAGGCGTGAGAGACACGGCCGGCACCGGGCGAAGTATCGGTGCGACGTCTCTTTTTGTTGGGGTCATTGTCGTTTTCGTGATTGGTGACATGCCGCTTGAGGAGATCTTGGCGCGCAAAGGCTTTGCCGCATATCTGACACGCGAATCGCTTCCCCAGAGTGTGCGTCTGTATGTGACGCGCGAGATGCTCAGGTCGGGAGTACCGCCGTTGGCAGTGAGCACACTGGTACAGACTGGCGGTAGCGGCGTGGCTCTGGGTGCCGCCCGGGGTAGATGTGGGATAGGGAGATTGAGCTGTTGGTATAGGTGAAGGAGAGACGGATTGTGAGGGACCATTGGGGTTGTATGAAGGTGCCGAGACAACTATTGTGGCATTCGGAGAAGGACCAGAGGCGAGAGGGTTGGCGTTACTGTTGGAAGCAGTAACCCGCTGGTCATCGGTACCGACGCCCCGGGTTGGCATCATGTTGTGGTGACCACCGTCCATCATGATGTTGTGTTAGTGACGTCGGGGCGGGTCCGGCAATCGGCCGCGAAAAGGCCAACGGCGCCGGACGGAGCGGTGGTAAAACCGTAAGCGGTCGGAAGAAGATGGTTGGCTGCTAACGGCAGCGCGCGACGGCTGTGTCGGCAAGCAGGACGGGAGGTAGGGGGAAAAAAGAATGTTGTGAAGGCAAAAAAGTTTTGTAAACCTGGCCTCAGGAAGGATAGATCCGATGTGGGAGGTTGTCGGGAGAGGGAGATAAAAAGGAAATATGAGCCAAGGGCGGCGGACCAGGTGCAGAAGCTTAGTAGGTAGTAGGTTAGGTTGAGAGCTTGGTGCGGTGCGGTGCGGTGCGGTGCGGTACTGTGTGGTGCTCTGATTTTGTGCTGGTGCTGTGTGTGTGGCCGGTGGGTGCAAGCCAAATAATAACCAAGTTAGAGCGAAAAGCGTGCGGCTGCAGCCAAGACCACAAAACTGGGGGGACAAGAACTTGTCTCGCGTTTTCTTGGGAACGTTGAGGGCTTTAGCTTAAACCTGACTTGTCTTGTTGCCGATAGACTTGAATTGACTTGAGGTAAGTTGAGACTTGAGTTGAGCTCGGGGAGAAGCCGTAGTAGTAGTAGAACAAGTACAAGTAGGTGGTAGTTAATCGTAGCCAAGCCAAGGCCAAGTCAAAGTAAAGTAAAAGCAAGGTCAGGTAAGGTAGACGCAGGTGTATAGATAGCGGTAAATGTACTTCCATGTGAGGTAATGGAGACAAGGTTGGGTTGGCCCTTGGGCAAGGGGAAAGAATAGCCTGGTGGACGGTAGACGACTGTGGCCATCCTTGGTCCATGAAGGCTCACTCAGGATGCAGGCTGTGGGCGGGACTGGGTCTCCTCTAAAAAAGAGAAGGTACGTACTCCGCTCGTACTTTGTCCGTCGAAATAAGCCTGGTTGTATCTGTAAAAGCACAGTTGCTGGAGTGTGTCTATGAGGCGCATTGAGCACGCAGATGTGGATGGGAAAGCCGTGGATGTTGGGGGCGGCGCTATGCAGTACGGGCAGTACGGTACAAAGTGACAGAGTACCTTCAACACCTTACTACGAGGTACGCGGTAGGGTGCCAGCTGCGGTTCTCAAGCGGGACGAAAAAAGAAGGCCAACCTGGAGACCTCAAGGACCTGGTGGTAAGGTGCCGCGTCAGTTCAATCACGGTACTATTCGTGGTATTATTTCAACGCCACATTGTAGTACGTCGGCCGCTGGTGATGAGTATATTGGCTTGACGGCCAAACACGTCGAATGCGAGGGCCGCCCTAGAGGAGCCAAAGACAGCGATCGGGGGTGGCCTCGTCATCCTCTGGCCGGCGCTGGACCTCAAAGGGGAAAGGCTCGAGCTGCCAGAGCTTCGAAACCCAAAACTCGGGCGTTGGTTGCATTTGGTGGAACGACCAGGTCTGGAGTTATGCAGGGCGACTGGAGAATGAGACCCAGACCTAGATCCCGGCCGAGGCGACGCGCAAGGGTCCATTGACGGCCGAGCACTGAGACGACGACGTCGCGGCTTTTCCGCGAAGACGGTAGGTGCTAGTGAAATGTCTTGAGCTGATGCTGCCCATTCCTAGGTGTATCCGTAGGTAGGTGCTGTAAAACAAGAGTCCGGCCTGGTCCCGACCAGGTAGACTGTTGTATTATCCGTACCTAGTGCTGCATGAGTTGGACGTGGGTGTGTATGTGTGCGTGTTCAGGTGTTGTGACCATGCCTTAAAAGATCCGAAGAAGCTCCCCTTGTTCTGCTCTGGCATATCGACGACAACATCAGCCGGCAGATGGCAACGCAGGAGACCAGATGGATAGTAGCCTTGAGCGTCCAGGGGTCACACACACACATACGGATACATACACCAGCCCAAATCCCATGATGAAGCAGTCTGAGGCTGAACATAACGGGCAACATCATCAGACGATGCTAGCCGATGCTTCATAAGAGAAGAGGGCGAGGCTTCTTGGTATAATTGTGGGCCAGGATGTCATATCCCGCACGCGCACGCGTTCCTCCAGAAAGATCCCGAGCCGACAAAGTCAGCCCGTCTAGTGGATAACGTAGGTGAGCCGATGGAGCCATTCATATGGGAGCAATCGGACATCCTGGCAGTCGCTCGAAACAGTTGATGGACATGTTGCCAATGCTGGCCACAACCCCCGTTGACCAAAGTCCCGATGCGAATTGGTTTGAGGCGGGCAGAACGCATGGTATCCGGATGCTGTGTTGCATTTCCAGTCCTGGCCTCTTTATCCATCTCTTGACCTCGTGGGCGGCCTTGTTCGGACCGCTCCGGCTGTCCCTTTTTTCGCGCTCAAAGGCAATCGATGTCCAAGATCTTGGTAGGAGCGAGTCATCGATTTGCGCTGTTGATCGGGTCGGCTCAGACACTTGCCAGAAAGTCAATTGACCCCGTCTGCTTGACTCGCGACGAACGTGAACAAATGCCTTGCCGGCTTGGCTAGACAAACTGCGGCGGTCTTTTTCGCATATTCACAGTGACAACTGACTTGACGGGATTGACCGGATTCACCGCCGCACAGAATGAAATCCCAAGTCTCCATGAGGATGCGTCTTAGCCGGGAAAAGCAAATTGACGAGTGGAGCGAGGAATCGAGGCGGCGGAAACTTCCTCTCCGCTCGCCGTGGACGGAGAGGCAAAGCCCTGCAAGATGCAGCTCGGTGCAGCGTGATGGGATGGATGATGACTTGCCAGGCGCAGGAGCTGGCGCAAGAAGATACTGCGTCTGCGACTGCGGTTAGTATCCGCATACAAGGTACAGATACCTTTTGAATCTTGGTCCTTGTTCTAGTCGAGGAGGTACTTGGATACTTTGAAAAGTTGAAATGCTCTGCACGAGATGGGCGGACACTGTAGCACACAAAGTAGCCATCGAGGAGTCAGCGGCCCAGGGATCCCCGTAGCGGCCCCAGCAGTTCCCCATGTGAAAACATCAGTGACCAGTGACCAGTGACCAGACTGCCAGAGACTCCAGACGCGGAGCCTAGAGAGGCACAGGTGACAGGGTGGTGCTCGTCAGTCTTTCAGAGTCCGGTGCCAAGTGGAGGGAAGAGACATGTTGACTCTGGCGGTTGATGAAAGCAGCAGATGCAGATAGATGAGATGTTAGGTCCTCCAAAGGACAACGTGTCTGGGCGTTATCAGAAAGTACGGTACCCAAAGACGTTCATTGGATCATGACAATATGGAAGGTATGCACAATAGAAGGGATGGAAGGAACTCACTGGCTGGCTGTCTTGCCGTCCATGTTCCAATGTCTGATCTGATGGACAGGGCAGGGGCCCAAGGGGTGCAGTGCAAGTCTGCAGTGCTGCACAGCTGCAGGTGTGTAAGTGGTACGGAGTACATGAGGTGCTGCGTACATAGAAAACAGACGGCACGGGATTGATCAAGAGCGTTACGTAGGCCCTAATATCCGTGCCAACCCTGAGCCCTGCCCGGTTGTCCCGAAAGGGCTTGGTGCCATGGTTCTCCCCGATGAGGACCCGCCCAGGGTGGGGAGCTCACTAATCCTCTATTGATAGATTTCCCCCAGCAATTTTGATAATGGAACCCTTCACCATAGCAATTACGCACCACGCAATTCCTCGACCCGAAAGCACTTCGCTCAAAATCACATTAGGTCGTGACACTAGAGACAAGTCCAAGGTACCCTGCCTTCCTGTTCGTAGTGTAGCTTGGGGCGTTTAGCGCCGCGGTACTTGTCTGCGCTAGCTAGACCTTAGTAAGGTTAAGTACACCATCTCCATTCTAGTGGCTTAGATACGTGCCCTCACTAGCGCACGCTTAGAAAGAAGTACCTCGAGCAGTACGTACTCTTGTCGGCGGAGAGGCCCCACACCATCCTCCCTCACCCTGCATCTGATTGCTGCATCTCTGATTCCACGTCGTCTCCTCCACTTGCACCAACACTGCGGGCGGAATTTGACCACACTTCTTCCTCTGCTCTTGGTCTCGACTGTCATCAACTCGTCCACTCATTGGCGCGCACTACTCCAGACACTTTCAACTTTAGATGACAGCCCGCCGTGTGTGTTTGCTGCTCTGCCAGTCGCAGGATGACGAAAGCCTGCCCTGCTTACCCCCCCTCCGTTTAAGCCTCGTCAAACATATCCCGGCAACCCTAATATGTTGACTGTTGATGGACCCGTGGCATGAAGCTTGAATTCTGCCTTACCTGACGGGGCATCTGGGGCAAGCTGAACAAAAGCAAACGCGTCCTTATTCACATTGCTCCATCACTTATAGGGCCATGACGAGTTCACGTTGTTTCAACTTTCAACACGCCGGCGCCAACGACCGGGGCTAACATGGAAACATGGCAAACTTCAACCGACGATACCGATGCCGTTACTCTATTTGTTGTAAGTCTGATGGGAGAAACGTCACGTTGAAACACTCCTTACTCTAATCACCAGAATACGAGCCTATGAAATTGGCCCATCACCTAAGCATACTGCATACACGGTAACCATGTGGAGGAAGAGAAGAATGAGGCATCACGGAGCCACTGGTGCGCAAGTCCACACCTCTAGCTTCTTAGATCCATACTTCTTTCTATACCGCTCAACTGGTTTACTCTCGTCTATCCGCCTCGGCCCTCACATCCGACACTTCTGGAGTCTGGAGTCTGGGATCATCAAGACTGCGTTGTCGACCTCGGCCCACGAGTAGCGAAGAGATAACGGCTCTGCATGTCGTTGACACATTCCAGGAACGGCACTCTCCGAGGGTCGTAGACGCATATGCACTGCACTGCCCGCAAGCGAGGCTGGCGGGATCCGTCAAGAACCACATGAGCGGCCTCCACGGTCGAGAAGCAGTACTATGGAGTGTTTACTGACGTTTGTCTAGTGTCCACGGCAACATATCCCTTCAGAGATATTGCGTGGGGAGCGCGTTGCGCGTCTCCTAGACGAGACATGCGGCATGCCAGGGTCTCTCCGCCGGCTCTGGCACACTAGCCGACTGCTACTTTTTTTTTTTTACTTTTTCAACCCCATATTAAGCACCAGCCACACTTTCCTACCACGTAAGACTGGCACACCGTGGATCGTAACCCGGAGCTGATGGCCGAAAACGGCACTTTGGCTCCTATGCTTAGTTCATGCGGCACAAACTTCTCCTCTCTTTGAGGCTCTTCCAGCAAGGCTTGGACTTGTTCAAGGACGGGATACCTCTTCCAACTCACCTTACGTGTGCGATGGTGGCGGCGGGCGGGGCGGAACTCGGCTGGACACATTAGAGTCCATGATTCCCAGAAAGATGATCAGCATCATCGTCACCAGCACCAGCACCAGCACCTTTGCTGTCTGACGTCTGTTCGCAAGCGCGCAGGAAGAACATGTCTCGACTTTCGAGGTCTTCCCTGCTTGCTTTTCTCTGTCTCTACTCTCCGTCACTCCGTGTGAGCAAAGTATGCAAAGACGGACACTTGCGTACGTCTCATCTCGGAGGTTGTCGCATCTGTCATCTGTCCCTTTTTTTCACTCCCTCGTTGGCTCCTTCACTAGCGTTCCTGCTAGAACCCACCAATTGGTTTTCCTCTGGTCATGTTTCGGTCGCCCATGTCCAAAGCCTTGGCAAAAGGCTTGTTGGTGGAACTTGGCCCCTTAAAATCGAAAACCCCTTAGTCGCGGATAAGACAGTGGCCGCTGCGGCTAAATCCTTGTCTGTTCCCATTCCTCTGCGTTGCCAAGTCTGTCCTCATTTACACTAGTGCTCAAATTCGGTGAGCAGGGTTGGGGCCTGATAATCTCCTGCTTAGGCCCGTCGCCTATCCCCGTCCGTCCTTTGGCTCTTGGGATGTGCCATCCAGTGTTCCTGGCGGCCCTCACGCACCATCACTGTGACTCCACGCGTCCGTCTCTCCAAGGTATCACCAGGTAGTGAGTGTACACACAGATTACAGGAAGGTAGCTGTTGGCGTTCTCGAGAGCTGCGACGTCAAGTCCAGACTTTGCATCGGTCACCCTTCATACTCATCCGCGACTTGCTGTTGTTCCCCCGCTATTGTTCTTTGTTCCTCGTCTTCGGCGACTCTCTACTGGTAATCTCTTCTTTCCAAGTTCTCGCGGTCATACCGCCGAATCATTGTGTTTGACATTGTTAAAAAAGAAGCCCCATGTTTCCCCACAGAATCCAATCATCGACGGGCTACCGAGACAGTAAAGCTTAAACCTTCTGCCGTCTCTCTTCTCTCTGCAAAGTGCTAGGTAGTAGCTGTGAACCACGCCCACGCCCGCCTATACCTCCCTTTTGATGCAACCACGTTGAACGATCGACGCGGCAGATACGCCTAGACTCAACCGTTTCATCGATCGGGCTCATCCTTTTCAAGCAGGGGGAGTAGCCGCTCTTCACTGCTCCCCGACTTCTTGGAACGGAATTCCAGACGACTCCGTTCACCCGACTTGCAAAACTGCGCCGTGACTTCTCTAGAAAACTCCTCCAGAAGGGGCTCCATAACCTTCCAGAGATCCCGAGCCGACGGGCAGACAAACTGCATCGTCGAAATCGTCAGAACACGGAGGCTCTCGACCCAATCCAGTGATGGATAGCGAAACACGGCATGTAGCGGAGGAGACAACGCGGGCGAGGACGTTGGGAAACGTCCGTTTAAGACATCCAGAAACAAACGAGATCATATTGATTCCATCGCCATCAGCAGATCCAAATGACCCCTTAAACTGGTAGGTACTGACTGGCGACCTGGATCGTCAAAAAAGCCAGGGATTTTCAGCTGACTCGCTTAGGCCACAATGGTACAAGTACTACATGGCGGGGTTGATCTGCTTCGCCATGATGATGTGCAACTTTCTAGCAGCGGGTATGCTCGAATCCATCGTCCCCAGAGTGTCCTTGTCGACGACTGGCTAACGGAGTCGTTGCAGGGCCCTCGATTGCGTTGCTGGATACAGCCTTGGAGTTCTTCCCCGCGGCTGCTACCGATACTGATGTCCTCAGTCTCGCGATCGCGAGGACTGCTTACTTCTTCACGACGACCGCCCTGCTCCAGGGCGTGGGCAACTTCTTCTGGGTTCCGCTCGCTAACAAGTTTGGCCGGCGGCCAGTCTACGTTGCGAGCTACTCCATCTACTTTGCATGCACAGTATGGCTCATCTTTGATCACTCGTACGGTGGCTTCTTGGCCGGCCGGATCCTGATGGGATTTGGCGCTGGAGCCGCCGAGACGATTGCGCCGATTTCCATCGCCGATGTCTTCTTTTTGCACGAAAGAGGAACCATCATGGCGTGAGTGCTGGTTCTGGCAGAGAAGCAGGTTGGCAGATCGCTAACACCATCATTGCAGCCTCTATACCGCGTTCCTTTCTGCGGGCGTTGGCTTTGGCGTGGTTATTTCAGGGTAAGTGATGGAAATGCGTCCCAGAGCGTGCTGGAAATCTCTAACCGTCGTGTGTTCTGGCAGTCTCATCACCATCAACCATAACTGGAGAGTCATCTACCAGGTTTCCGCTGCCTTGGTCGGCGTTGTGCTCTTGCTGGCATTCTTCACCTTCCCCGAGACCTCTTACGAGAGAGACGAAGCGAGCGCCTGGAACCGCCTAGGTTCGATAGACGGGAGTAAACCCGGGTCGATGAGGTCCGAAGGCGAGCTGCCCGCTCGCCCGCTAGGGACTTCGACGACGAGACGCTCAAAGCAATCATACCTTTCTTCGCTGAAAATCTTCAACAAGACGCTGACGCAGGAGAGCCTGTTGAAGCTGGCGCTGCGGCCTCTGGGCCTGATCCTCTTGCCGCCGGTCCTCTGGGCGGCGCTGGTGCAGGCCGTGACGGTCGGTTTCCTCGTCGCTGTGTCCTCGAACGCCGGTTCCGCGTTCTATTCCGCATACGGGTTCGATTCGTGGCAGATTGGCCTCTGCTTCATTGCCGGCATCCTCGGGGCGCTGCTCGGAATTCCGGCCGGTGGGCATCTTGGCGACATGATTGCAGATTGGTTTACCAGACGAAACGGCGGAATGCGGGATCCGGAGATGCGACTGCCTGGCATGGCCATCAGTATGGTCACGACGCCGTTGGCCCTCGTCCTCTACGGTGTCGGCATCGATAGCCAGCTGCACTGGATCTGTCCCACCATCGGTCTTGGACTTCGTAAGTTGGCCTCCCTACCCTCCACCCCTCCTTGCTCTTTGTCGAAACGACGGTGTTTCTAATCGTCCCATCTACAGTCACCTTTTCCATCTCCCAAGGAACGAATATCTGTCTCGTGTACGTGATTGATGCCTACCGGCCCGTCGCCGGCGAGATCACACTGGCCGTCATGGGCTTCAAGTGTAAGTGGGCGTCCAACTCTTGGCATCCCTCTTCCTCGTCCCAAGACATTTCGTATTTGCCCGGCATATGAATGCTGACTTTTGGTCCTTTGATGTAGCACTCTTTGGCTTCCTGTTGTCCTTTTACACCAATACCTGGGTCGAGAAGGCCGGGTACGACAATGCCTTTGGGGCCATGGCGGGAATCGCATCTGCCGTCTTGGTCCTGTGGGTGCCGTTATTCGTCTGGGGCAAGGCGATACGACACGAGTCGTGGAAGTGGCCGATCATCCGGTATATCCATTGGAACGAGGACAGGGAGGTAGGGGAATAAGAAAGGACGATGGAGAGAAAAGAGAATGAGAGAGAAAGAGAGAAGAGACGAGACGAGGTTGTATTTCTCTTGTACCATCCCACACCAATACCTTTTTCCCACGCAGCACACGTATAGCAAGGCGTTTCGGTACTTATAACGGAATTGAGTTTTTATGTTATGACGGGAAAAGGGAAGAACACAGCCAAATAAGAAGAAGGGCAGCAGCGGTTTTACAAGCTTTAAGGTTCCCTTTCCCGTTCTTTTTTTCTGATTCTGCCTGACTGGTCTTGCTTTGGCCTCCCCCCATTCGTTGCGCCAATACGCAAGCCCAGGCTTGCCCAGCCCACCTTGGCCCCCTTCGGGATGTGGGAGAGGGAGGGACCCCGTTCCCGACACCATGAGTGGGGGGGGGGACATACAGGCGCAGACGGGTTAACAACATTTCTCACCCAATCTCATCTCTGGGCAGCTCGCAACAGCCCCGTTCATGGGCCCCTTGAACAGGCCATTTCATACAGACTTTGGTCATTTTTCTTGTGTTTTTCCTTGGAAATACTTGCTCAGCTCTAATCTAGTAGCCTAGCACGCTTGGCCAAGGGTGTTATTTTCTGCCCTTTTGGACCCTGAGTCAATGATGAGTAAAAGTTTATCATCCCTCCCTTGTTTCCGTGACTGGGCATGGTAGCATGCTGGTGGTGGGCTATCCAGGCGCGCCAGACACATACGCGCTCACTCTCTCACTCTCTCTCTCTCTCTCTCTCTGACGGATAAAAAGGCATTCCATTCCCATACTCCGTCCAGATAGAGCTAATAAGCCAGCCCCCTTTACTTAAATACTGAGGCCCCCGTCAATGACGGCGTTAGCGCCGGTGACGCTCCTGCTCCTGGCGAAGCACAGCACCTGGTCGGCCACGTCGTCGACCGTGGCGAGGCGCTTGAGGGGCGTCTTGTCGCGGGCGGCCTGCTGCTTTTCTTGCGGGAACTGTAGGCCCCAGTCCTATTACGAGCGGAAACGCATGTGGCCAGTGAGCATGTCTGGTTTGTTATGTTTCTTTACCGGATATGTCTTGCCGTGGATATGGGTATCGTTTGTATGGGGGGATACAGACGAGGGTGGTGTAAGGTGGTGGGGGGCAAGGGAGATGGAAGGGGGGGCATTGTGTGTGTAACATACCGTCAACATGAGGCCTGGAGAGACGCTGTTTACTCTCACTTTCGGGCCTGCTGCTAATGCGAGGCCTTTTACGAGGTGGATCTGGGCTGCTTTCGTCACGGCGTAGGCCTGTGTTGTTTTGCCGTTCGTATTAGAAGAGTCTCTGCCTTGCTTGCTGCGCCTATACAATACGTGCAGGAGAAAGGTGATAGGGAGGGGGGCTTGTTCCAAGGCGACGGGGTTATTGATGAGATTGCAAAAGAAAAAGGCATACCAGTGAGCTCCCGCTAACTTTAACACCGGCCAACGACGCCGTGGTAATAAAGGCGCCCTCAGTCTCGTCGAGGTACGGCCGCGCGGCGTGCATGAGGAACAGGTGCGACTTGACATTCATGTTGAAGCAGCGGTCCCAGTCGTCCTCATCGACGTTGTCGTCGAGGTCCTGAATGTTGCGGAGTCTCGTCCAGCCGCCGTTGGAGAAGAGGACGTCGAGGCGGCCGCCGAGCGCGTCGGCTGCTTGTTTGACGAGGGCGGTTGTTTCGGCGCGGGAGGAGAGATCTGCTTTGATGGCTTTGAAGTGCTGCTGCTGCTGCTGCGGCTGCTGGCTTCCTCCTCCTTCTGTGGGGGAAGCTGAAGCTGGTGAGAGGGACTCGAGTTCCTTGACGAGGGCTTCTGCGCGATCGCTGTTGTTTGCGTAGTTTATGACGACGCTGTAGCCGTTGCGAGCGAAGAGTTTGGCTGTTGCGGCGCCGAGGCCTGCGCTGCCTGCTGTGATGAGGGCGGTTGGGATTGGAGACATTGTTTTGTGAGAGTTCTTTTCCGGTTCTTTTTCCTTTCCCTTGTTCCTGTGGTTGTTTCGACCGATAATGAAGAGAACGGGGTAGTACGGTGTGAGTGCCAGTGAGAGCGGGCTTGTTCGGCCCCGATGAGGTTTGTGTTGTAGGTTCTCCGGAGCTTTGTATCGGAATTCCGGTGTCGGGGCGGGGTAGGTCGGGACCAGATTGGGGCCGACCACACTCAAGGAGCCGAAGAAAGGGCGGGGTAACTACCACGGCACCACGGATACGGGTGTACCTTAGGCGGGTGCCGAGGGTTCCATGTGGGGTCACGCGAGCAGTAGGTTTGGATCTTGATGTCGGTTTACCATGAATAAGATCCGATGGGATGAATAACAGCAAGGTGAGGCTTGGAGGATCTTTAGTCAGATTGATATGGCCAATGAGTCGGGTTGAGTTCAACTCATCCTATGTTTGCCATATTCGTAACGCGATCAGCTACAGAGTGCGATGGACGGCACGTGGGAACCAGAATTGGGACTGGAGCTGGGACAAGAAGGCCCGGTACTATATGCGGCAGATGCATCAATTACAGAGACAATAATCTATGACTTTGACTCGATGTCACTTGGATGTAGCTTCTCAATGATAGACATATTGGTGCAGGAAGTTGTGGTAAACTAGAAGTCACAGCAAGAGCAGCAGCAGCAGCAGCAGCAAGAACACCAACGGACCCACCCCCACCTGAGCCGATCTTTTGCTCGCTTCTCCCCCTCCTTGACCGGAAATACTCCCCGACACATCCTTACCGAGAAGTCTGTCTTTACGACATACCACTCGGTTCCAGCTCAAGTTGAGAATGTTCATTGCAACCTTTGACTAAACGACGGCTGACACCTTCCCCTTGCAAGCTTCGATCTACCGCCTGCTCGAAGCCGGTATACCGCTGAGACCTTGCGCATAAGCTCAGCTGTCGATTAGTTTCACGTCTCGTACAAAGTTGCACGGCAAAATGTTTCTATTGTTCTCATGGCAGATGGACACAGAGGGAACAGGGGGTTACTAGGTAAACCACATAGTATGGACCAAGAGACTAAACGATATTCCCGCGTATAACTTGTCCCCTCCCCCGCCATGCTTCCGCCCTTCCGCCCGCCGGCAGAAACTGCGGGGGGGGGGGGGGGATAATGGGGAGGAGCAAACCTCCCAGCCAGTGGTCACCTTCGGCATGGCTTTTCTTGATGAGTTAGGGCGCATGAAGACCTACACTAGTTCCTTCTCCAATTCCCGCCCTGTGAACGCTCGGCGATTTGCAAGAGTCCGGGGTTGCGGTGGTAGTTTTCGATGGTGGTTGCGATGGGGGGAGGCAATGGAGACAAGGGAGAGAGGGGCCGAGCTGTCGAGCCCAGCAGACCGACGATCGACGCGGTGGCGTAGCGTCGAAGTCCGGGGCGGGAAGCGTTTGAGATGACGGGCTGTAATGTAAGTCTTACGGTATCATTTCTTCCCCGTCAACCAACGGTTATATCTCGTCTCTTTTTTCTCTTAACACATAGTTTTTGGCCATTTTCTGTCTCGGCGCCTCTTTCACCTCTCTTTTCTTTCACACCACTACTCGCAGCTGTGACATTCCTAGACAATCTTCTCAGTCATAACTGTGAGAGTCGAGCAAAGGTCTTGTTTCACAATCTACCTAGACAGAACAACGCACCCTCTTTTTCCTCTGCACACGTCAAGCTTGGCACCATGGTGGTCAACGGAGAGGCTCAGCGCCCTGACGGCGAGTACTCGAGTCCCATGGTCCACGAATATCCCCGACCACTCAAGATTGCCATTGTAGGCGCCGGCATTGGTGGTTTAAGCACAGCTATAGCACTGCGCCGGCAAGGTCACCAAGTTGACGTACGAAGCACCCCCCTCCCCTTGTAGCCCCATCCCCCTCATCTCACTCGTGTACTCATGCTTTCCATCTCACCGTAGCTGTATGAGCAATCAAGACTCGCAAATGAGACTGGTGCCGCCGTTCACCTGGCGCCCAACTCCAACGGCCTCTTGCGAAGATGGGGCATCTACGCAGAGACGTTCGGCGCCAACCCTGCGCATCACTTCAAGGAGAGAGACCTGCAAAACCAAGGCGGCTTCGACGTCGACATCACAAAGTCCCAGGGCCAATGGCAGCACCCCTGGCAGCTCGTACACCGCGCCTACCTTCACAACGAGATCCGCAACGTCGCCACCGCGGAGGATGGAGGGGTCACCACGCCGGCGAAGCTTCATGTCGCGTCCAAGGTTGTAGGCGCGGACCCCGAGAAGGGCGAGTTGTCGCTGGAAGACGGGACGACTGTCCAGGCGGATGTCATCCTCGGTGCTGATGGTATCTATGTGCGTACACAATGGGTTTACAAAAAGTGGTCATTATTTGTGTTGTACTGACCTTTTCCAAATAGTCCAAGATCAGGAGGTTCGTGACCGGCACCGACTACAAACTTTTCCGCTCGGGCAAGGCGGCGTTCCGTTTCCTCATTCCCCGCGCCGCAGCGCTCGAGGACCCCGTTACTGCGCCTTTAGTCGACAGGGAGAACTCTCTGGGTATTTGGTTTGGGACAGACAGGCGCATCGTGATTTACCCGTGCAACAATAACCAGCTTCTCAACTTTGTTTGCATCCACCCCGATACCGAGTCTCAAGCAAATGCCAGCGACGGTATGTCTCTTAACGACTCATCATATAGCGGGAAACTGACAAAACATTAGAATGGAATAAGAAGGGCTCTATTGAACAGCTACTCAAGGTTTACAAAGACTTTGATCCTGCTCTGTTGCAGTTGATCAAAAAGGTTCACCCCGATGAAGTCAATGTCTGGCAATTGTTGGACATGGAGGCCATGCCGACATGGGTGAATGGCAAGCTCGCCCTTCTGGGAGACGCCGCGCATCCTTTCACACCTCGTAAGTCTATTCCGACAAGAACCCCCATCGTGAGATACTGACAGGGACGTAGACCAGGGGCAAGGCGCGGGTCAGGCGATGGAAGACGGGGCAGCATTGGCCGTCGTTCTACCAAAGGGGACGTCTCCCGACGAGGTCCCTGAACGTTTACGTCTGTACGAAAAGATCCGCATGGAGCGCGCGCACAAGATCCAAGAGTTCTCTCGTCAAGCCGGCAAGGACAGAATACCAGGCCAACCACCTGCCATCCAGAGTTCGTGAAGCTCCCCCCACTCACACCCCTTGGCAGACCACTGACACGACGAAACAGTGATGAACTACACAAACTACAACTTTGGCCACGACGAACACGACCACGCCACAAAGATCTTTAACAGGTACCTCTGGTCCAAGAAGCAGAACATGTACTGGCGCATGCCCATCGGCTTCGGTCCCTTCCCGGGGCCCCGACAGGACTTCTTCGGCCGACGACAGCCCTCCGAGCTCGAGCGCACCTTCAAGACAATGTCGGTCAAATTCCTCACGTCACGCACCCTCCTCGAGTCCATCCTCCCCACGGACTCGTTCCGCTTCAAGGACCCCGGCACCGTCTGCGCCGCCTCGCTCTCCGTCACTCAGCTCAACAACATGTCCTGGCTCGGCGGCGGCGGCTACAACCACTTGGGCTTATACATCCATGGCATCGAGTACGTCAAGCGCGACGGCGCCGCGATCAACGGCACCCACCTGTCCGTGCTCTTCGAGTCCCTGACGGACCCCATCGTCTCCGGGCGCGAGGAGCTCGGCATGCCGAAGCTGTTTTGCGACATTGACCTCGAGCACCACGCCACGGCGGCGCGCGTCCGTGCTTCGTGGCGGGGCGCCACGTTTGCCGACATTTCGCTCAAGAACCTGCGCCGAGACGAGCCCGAGACGGAACATGGTACCATTGGCGGCGAGGCGGACTACGGGATCCTGACGTACCGGTATATCCCTTCCGTCGGGCAGCCGGGCAAGGCTGATGCCGAGTACGCGTGTGTTGTGCCGCATGAGGAGGAGGCCAAGGACGTGCCGGCTACGGTGCATGCTGTGTCGAGGGCGTCTACGGCTGATGTGTTGGTTAAGATGGACGGTCTCGACTGGGAGAAGCTGCCGACGCTGCACCACGTTGCCAAGTTCTTGGCTGAGATGCCCATCTATGAGGTTGTGGGCGCAAAGGTTGTTGAGGGAACGGGCGTGCCGAATGTTTCTGCGGCTCGGAGGATAGAGTAGGGCAATTTCGGAGGTCCATGACGACGTGGGAGAGATTGTCACAACATCATATCCTTAAGGGCTCTCGTGAAGGAGGCATTGTGCACATTTTTTCCTTCTCATAGTGGCATTCAGGCTTTAGGCCTGATGAATACCCAACATTGTACTTTGATAACTAAAGCCCATAAGAAATTGAAAGTAAGTGCCCTAAACCAAGATGTGACCATGAGTATCTTTTCTGCAATCCGACTTCTAAGACTTCATACCCTGTCCTGCTTGTTATCGAGCTCATCGAATTCAATTATTTCACGCCAACTTCCCTCAGCCCTCCCCTTCATTTGCCCGGCTCTTACAGTCGCCCGTGAGCCCGAACCCGAAATCTCAGATCAACGATGTCTACCCGAGATGGTGTCAAACGATGAACGATGACATCCCAGAGATCATGTGCAAAGGCAAACCTTTACCCCAGTTTCGGTGGTCTTGTTTGCATCAGACGCATACTTACTAAGGTAATGCAACCAACACGTGTAATGAAGACAGTTTCATAGCGTCCGCCGAGCTGTCCTCCCGTCCCCGCACAACCCACCTCCTCTTGCGTTCCGGCCCCACCTCCACTTTCCGCCCACTTGCTCCGGATGGCTGTAAACTGCCTGAACAAGCTATACGACGACGGATGCCGATCCGGCAACTACTTCAAACATGGTGTCGAGGAGGGGGGATGGCGGGGAAAGGATGGTTGACAGGATGTTACAGAATGTACTTGAGGTTATTTGTAAGCTCGATGTTTTCTCTTTCAAGGGGAGTAGAAGACTGCCCGTTTTTTCTTCTTGAAAGCTTGCTCGTCTCAACTTTCTTCATCACATAGCTCTCCCCCAAACTCAGCCTAGACTATTTATACTTACATCTCAAGAGGAAGCAAAAGCTACACCATACATAGACATTCCAACACCGCAAACCCCTCTACCCGTCGTTAAAAGCTACATTGAACAAGACGCAGCGCACACACATCTCAACAATGGCATCCCAACCAACACCCAGCGAGCTCCGCCGCCCCCACCGCTTCATCACAGACCACGACCCCTCAGGCAAAGCAATCTTCAACACCGCCGTCGACACCGAAATCCCACAACAAACCGTCGGCGGCGGCGCCAAGTTCTACCTAGGCTACACCACAGAACAGACCCCCGTCTCGCTGACGGCCAATGCAGACGTGACGGCCTACGCCCAGCGCCTGGCCAGCCCGCCGGGAATCGTGATCCCCGGCGGCAGCGTCGTGCGCATCGTCGACATGGCGCCCGGCTCGCTGAGTCCCATGCACCGGACCGTCAGCCTCGATTACGGGGTGGTGCTCGAGGGCGAGATCGACTTGGTGCTGGATTCGGGCGAGACGAGGAGGATGCGGAGGGGGGATGTGAGTGTGCAGAGGGGTACGATGCACGCTTGGAAGAATGTGAGCGAGACGCAGTGGGGGAGGATGTTGTATGTGCTGCAGGAGGCGGAGCCGATCGAGGTTGCTGGGGAGGTGTTGAAGGAGGATTATGGGGTTGGGATGGGGGATGTGAAGCCTTCTTCCAAGTGAGGAGGCAGGTTTGGTACTGTACGTCTCTTGAGAACGCTGATGGATTGAATATCATGGTCTTCTATTCAGTGTTTAAGTGCATCTTACAGCCAGATAGTAGGACCTCGTGAGCTTGGAACTTGAGGACAACTAGATGAGACTGGTGAAGAGCAAGTCACTAGAGCTTTGGTTTTTTCACAGTGTTATCTGGACTCCATTGGCATTCAGAATTTACCATCTGATAATGGAAAACAATTGCAAAGCCAACGAAAAGATGTGTTTCTGGGCTTCAAGGTGAATGAGAAGCATGCTAGATCAGCCCCATTCTTCAGTGTGTGTCGATGGGTGCCTTTCAGTGCGTGCTTGAGGCACACCGTGGACCCCACATACCCGGAGCGGGAGCGGGACGGCGAAAAGAGCTACCGTAGCCGAGAAAATTTCAGTGGACCCCAACCGCAGTGTCGCTAGCGCGCATCTCTAGTTGACCACTTGCTTGCATGTACCGTTGTAAGCTCTTTAAAATCCCAAATACCAAAAACCATTCGTTCCCTTCGCCAGTCACCCATTGGAGTTCAACTCACCTCTCCCCGAGCTCCAAATCCCTCGATAAAATCCTCCGAACCATCCTCTATACGCGACTTTGCAACAACTCTGACATTCCCGGGCCGAAAGCCCTCCCGCTGCCCAAGATGATGCACCCTTCGCGACAAGCCTACGTCGAGGAGGCGATGGACGAGGACAGAGGCATTGCGCTGGAGGACATCCCCGTCGACCACGACTACGAGATCCCCTCGGCCTTTGCCGGCGCCGCCCCCGAGAAGACGTCCGCCGTCCTGGCGCAGATGGAGAGGAAGAAGCTGGCGGCGAGCATCGCGGTGCCCACGGACGACAACCGCGTGCGCACGAAGCTCAGAGAGATGGGCGAGCCCGTCACGCTATTTGGCGAGGGCAAGCCCGAACGCAGAGACCGCCTCCGGAACCTGCTAGTCATCCAGCAGGAAATGGCGGGCATCGAGAACGGCGACATTACCATGGAGGACGCCGAGGACGAGGACGAGGACGAGCAGGACGAGGAGTTTTACACACCTGGCGGCCAGGCCCTGTTGCAGGCGCGCATCGATATCGCAAAGTATTCCCTGCCGAGAGCGCGGAGGCGAGTGCAGTTTCAAAAGGCCGAGTCTACGATCCCCTTGCGCACGCACGTCAAGTTCCGGAAACAGATTAAGGAAAAGCTCGAGGGGTTCGAGCTTCAGGGCAGTCAGACGGCCGGCGATAGACACGTCAGCATGACGAGGTTATCACCAAACGGAGAGGTCGTTGCCGTGGGGAACTGGGGCGGAGGGCTTAAGCTCATTGAGATCCCGAGCATGGAGGCCAAGATGAACCTTCGAGGACACACGCAGAAGATTAGCGGTATCTCATGGTACCCAGGGTCCACGCTACCCGAGGGCAACGTATCACCCGACACGGTGAACCTTGCGTCCGGCGGAGCTGAGGGCCTGGTCCACCTGTGGTCTCTGAACAAAGATACCCCCCTTTCGACCCTGACGGGCCACGGCGGTAGGGTATCCCGCGTCGAGTTCCACCCTTCCGGCCGGTATCTGGCATCGGCCTCAGACGACACGACATGGAGGCTCTGGGACGTGGAAACGACGGCGGAGCTGCTGCTGCAAGAGGGCCACTCCAGGGGCGTCTACACGGTCAGCTTCAACGCCGACGGCTCCCTCCTGGCCAGCGCGGGCCTGGACAGCATCGGCCGCATCTGGGATCTGCGGTCCGGCAGGACGGTCATGATCCTCGACGAGCACATCCAGCCCATCTACGCGCTCGACTGGGGCTCCGACGGCCACAGGGTGCTCTCGGGATCGGCCGACGGCTGGGTGAAGTGCTGGGACGTGCGCAAGGTGCAGCGGACGGCGAACCTCGGCGCGCACGCCAAGGCCGTCTCGGACGTGCGGTGGTTCCGGGGCCTGGACGACCCAATTGACGGCCACCCGCCCGGCGCCGATGAAAAGGGCGCGCAGCAGCCCAAGAAGGCGGGGACGTTTTTTGTTTCTGGCGGGTTCGACGCAAAGATTAAAATCTTCTCGGCCGATAACTGGAGTTTGGTGCAGACGCTCAGCGGGCACTCTGGGCCGGTTGCCAGTGTTGATGTTAGTAGGGACGGCAAGTGGATCGTCAGTGGTGGTCATGACCGGACGGTCAAGCTCTGGGGCCGGAACGATGGCGAGGGATTGTAAGGGAGATGTTTTGGGTTTAGAGATGGAGGGAGATACCGACTCCTGTAGAACAATAAGATACCCCCTTCAAAGTTCAGTCATTCGCGATGATCCTCCGTTGCCTGCCAAGTGGGTGACACAATAGTTTGCCGCTTGATACCTTTCCTCTGTCTCCTATTTGTGTTCTACTACTACTACCATCATTACTATGACTAGTAGGAGTAGTAAGACCCTTGTTGTTCTTTCTACATGTTTTACATCCCTTACAGAATACCCTCTAGAGAGCGTAGTATAGTGATTATAATAATGGGAGCAGAAATGAGAAGGCAACCTGGAACTAACTAGTCGTTCGTGAACTGTCATCCTGTTTTATCACCGACTTGTCTGGGTTCCAACAAGACTCGGATACTACACAGTGGTCAGTTCTCCCTCGAACAAGGATTCAAACCGTCGTCTCGAAGGCCATAATAGAAGACATCTACAACCTCGCCTTGGGCAACCCACCAACTCCAGCAGACACTCCACGAACCCTCCCAAGAACCTCATCCATCACATCTCCCAACAACCTCATCGCGCCCTCCCCAACCTGATGATGCAACACAACCCTCTTCCCATCCAACTTGACCCCCCTCCGCCTCCCAGCCTCATTCCACTGCCTGACACCCACCCCGCAACCCCGGAGATCCAACCACACCATATTCGTCTCAACAGGCTTCAGCAGCACTCCGCCCCTAGAAATCCACATCCTCCCGACCTCGGCCGCCAACACACGACTCCTCTCCAACACGCCCCTCACATCCCTCGTCCCGGGACCAAAGTTCTCAAGAACGGCCTGCCGCGCCGCGGCGGCGAGGACGCCGGCCTGTCTCATCCCGCCGCCGATACTCTTCCGCATCCTTCGCAGACGCTTCATCAGCTCCGCGGAACCAAGGACCATGGCGCCCATCGGCGCGGCGAGGTTCTTGCTGAAATCCAGCGTGAGCACATCACAACACCGTCCAAAGTCCTCCAAGCTGCCCGCGCCGGCCGAGACGGCTTCCCATAGCCTCGCGCCGTCCATGTGTACCGCAATGCCCCTCGCGGAAGTCCACTCCCTGATCCTCCTCATCTCCAGCAGCGGAACAACGACACCTGAAGACGTATTCTCGATACTCACCACCCGCGTGGGGCACTTGTGTACGTCATCCGTCAGGACGGCATGTTTCTCGATATCTTGGAGTGTGAGATAGAGTCCGTTGCGCGGCCGGATCCCCTGGACCATGGCGCCCGAGAGGTGCGCCACGCCGCCGGCTTCCCAGTGGAGTATGTGCGCGGAGGCGTCGGCGAGGACGGCGTGAGGGGGTTGCGTGAGGAGGGTGCGAAGGGCGAGTTGGTTTGCCATTGTGCCGGTGAGGACGAAGGCGGCGGCGGCGTGGCCGCAGGTTGCTGCGAGGGAGGATTCGAAGAGGGAGGTTGTGGGGTCTTCGGAGTAGACGTCGTCGGAGAGGGTTGTGTGGGTTATTGCGGCGAGCATTGTGAGGGAGGGGGTTGTGATCACGTCGCCTGGAGAGGGTTTGGGGCTTGGTTAGATGAGTATTGTGTTACGGGAAGAGAATGTAGAGGAGGAATGCTGTTTGGGATGGCCGGGGGTAGTAGAGGGTGACGTACTTCTGAAGTCGAAGGCGGCACCGGTCTGCTGGGGTGAGCCCCAGAGAATAGAGGCTTTCTTATCGTCGGGTATCATGACGAGGACGTCGTCGAGTTTTAGCTGTCAAGGAATGGTGCGCAGTTGCTGGCTGTTGTTGAAACCAGAGCAGGCTCCCAGAGCCCTCGCATCAATATGAACAGCTCGAAGCAAAACAGCGATGAGGACCAGAGATAGGTTTACTTATTTAACCTGTCCTGCACGGTAGAATCCCTCGACAGCTCATAAATACGCAGGTGATGTCGTGAAGCCTTGTCTGGGTTCTGGTGATGATTATATGAACAACGATGCTGTTCACGCCCAGACGATCAATCTCACCCGAACTGTAGATTTCATCACAAGATACCTAGGTCTAGAATCTCTACCGCTCCAAATTGTGAGCAACAAATGGGACGCATCCGTCTGAACTCATCGTGGCGTCCTTATAAGGATTCTTACAGAGAGGTTGTTGTACAGCCGTTCCGTATCAACCGCGCGCGCGTATATGAGGGAGGGGGGCTAGACGAGAAAGGGCATGTGTTTGTATGTAAGTGAGAGAGATGTCATGCAGTCAGCTCAGGGCCCATCTCAATCACAGCGCCTTCGCCTCGTCAAATCATCGGGAAAGGGTGCGCATTAAAGGAGAGGCCCTGGGCTGGTGACAACCAAGTCGGCTTAACAAGTCGATTCTAGAAGGTATGCTCGACGTGCCTCGGACTCGAGTCCAGCTCCCCCATTAGCTCAAACGGATCGTGAGCGCTGTATGTGTCGTGATGTCTGTCGGTGATTGGACCGTTGACGCGAAGGCCAATCCAAGTGCTTACGGCAGATGTAACCCGTCTAGGAATCTCACATGCAGCAAATAGTTTGCTTTCCCTGTTGATCCTTTTTCGCCTTCCTCTTCATGATTTGTAGCATCTTTCACGATCTCTCAAGGAGCTCTCTGGCTTTCCTTGGAAATCCTGGGGCTGAGTTTTCCTCTGCCTGCTTTCGCCTCTTCCGAGTTAGCTGGCATTGGAGGATTTCCATTAACTATGTTTTATGACTAAGAAGATGAGAGAAGGAAGGCTGGTGTTTCTCTTGGCTGGATAGAGGTGCCTGCAATTTGTAGTGATAATGATACCCCGTCGTCGATCAGCGGTGTGGGATATAAGCCGGTAGCCGGAAGTACGATGCAGTCCCAAAAAGAGGAAGACGACGGGATTATCCTGGCGTCTATTCTACAAGTCCTCTCTTCATCGCAAACCTTTTCTCATTCATTTTACTATACTCAACTACTCAGATCATGCTCATCTATCATCTCTAATCTCCACCCCCTAACTTCCTTCGCGTCCTCTTTCCCCCTTGTTCCCTTCCCCCCCTTCGCCGGCGTCTCCAAACATGGTCCTCGAGTGGCACTCTCCACAGGAACCGACGGAATCCGACGTCAAGAAAGTCGCCGCCTCATCCTGTGCCGTTGTCGAGAAGACGGAGGCGGATACGGATGAGACTGCCGTCCTGGCACGGTACGGAGTCGAGAGGCGCGCCGACGGCTTCGTCAACTGGCAGCGGGACTGTGCTACGCACCCGAGGAACTGGACTACGAAGAGGAAGACGTTTGATACCACGGTTATCATCCTGTTTGAGCTGTACACGTGAGAGAGAGAGCTTTTCATCTGTTTCCCCTCCATGTTTGTTTTGAATCCATGTGTAGCTGACGGCTTGATAAGAACGATTATAAGTACAACTGGGGTATGTGATTATACAACAATACCTTGTCTTATGTTACCTACCATCCATGCCCACCGGTCCCTGCCGAGGCGATCCGTATCGCGGGAGGAACCGAGCGCCCGGGAGAGATTCCTGGGTCGTCACTATGTCAAAACCCCTTATACCAAAGTCCCTTATACCTACACAGCAACATCGAGATAACCATCAGATACAAATCAAAGAAAAACGATATGCTGACAAGGTTCTGCTCCCATACAGGCTGTCGCCGCAACCGAGACCGCTCCAGACTATGGCCTTAGTCGCCAGGTGTCCCTGGTGGGCTTCACCCTAATGTAAGAGCTCTCTCTCTCTCTTAATAGTTTCCTCCTTGGAAATGAATGCTCACAATAAGGTCATAGGTACCAACTCGGCCAAGCAATAGGCGGCTTCCTCATCCCCCCCTTCTCAGAGCTCTTCGGCCGCCGCCTCCCCTACCTAATCTCCTGCGCCGCCTTCTGCCTCGCCAGCCTCCTCACCGGCCTAATCCACGCCCCCGCGGCGGTCTACGCGGGCCGCTTCGCCGCAGGACTCGCCTCCGCCGTGCCGTCCGTCGTCATCGCCGGCAGCGTGGAGGACATGTTCAACACGAAGCGCCGCGTCTGGATCATTGTCCTCTGGAACGCGGGGACGACCATCGGGCTGTGTTTCGGGCCCGTCTACGCCGCGTACATCTCCGAGGCTGCCGGGTGGCGGTGGATCTTTTATAGCGCGGCCGTCGTGACGGCGGTGCTTTTTGTAGCCATGTTTGGGATCAGGGAGAGCCGGCCTAGTATCCTGCTGGGGGCCATAATCAGGAAGATTCAGAGGGAGACGACGGTGCGGGAGCTGGCGTGGCATAACCCGGACGAGGCGCGGGATTGGCGGGCCTTGGTCCGGATCAGCGTCCTTCGGCCGGGCAAGATTCTGCTCACGGAGCCGTTGGTCATTATGGTGGCGCTCATCTCGGCGTCGTCGTGGGGTATGATCTACCTTTTTACCGAGTCTCTTACCGTGGTTTACGTCTCAGTCGGGTTCACCAAGACGCAGGCGTCTCTGCCGTTCCTGGCCATCGCCGTTGGCGTCATCTTCACGTTTCTCCCTCGCTTGTGGGATATGAAGGTCGTTCGGGACCGGCAGCGGAAGCAGATTACCATCCAGCCGTAAGTCACTCATGTACCCCACCCTCCCCTCCTCATCGAGATCTCTCATGGCTGATGAGTCCCTATTCCTTGACCAGAGAGGATAAAATCATCGGCTTCGCGTTCGCCGCCCCGGCACTCGCCATCGGACTGGCATGGTTCGCGTGGACGGTGCCGCCGCTGGTGACGGGCGTCCACTGGGCGGTCCCGACGGCGTCCCTCATGCTCGTGGGCTTCGCGGTAAACGAGACGGCGCACACGCTGAGCGGCTACCTCGCGGACTCGTACCTGCTCTACTCGGCGTCGGCGTTCTCGGGTCTCGCGCTCGTGCGGGCCGTCGCGTCGGGGCTGATGCCGCTCGTGGCGCACGAGATGTACGCCGGGTTGAACGCCAACTACGCGGGCACGATACTGGCAGGGCTGGCGGCCGCGTTTTGCGTGACGCCGTGGGTGTTTTTCCGGTTCAGCAAGAGGTTAAGGCAGAGGAGCCCGTTTGCGCGCTTTAGTTTGGAGACGCATTACTTGACCAACGTGGAGGAGAATTAGTAGATTGGGGTTGGTGTTCAAAAAAGGTGATGGAGAGGTGTGAGAGTGTTGTTTGATGACTAGCAAAAATCACAGTTTGGGCTTAGTCAACCGGCGTTGACGTGACCATCGAGAAGGGAAGATCGTCGTCGCCCGAGTTTCGACAGGGTTGGCTGCGGAGGATGGGGCACCTTATTCGGTGGGAACCAGTGGGGAAGGCGTTTGTGGTTGCTGCGACGAACATGTGTTTGCGGTGTTTTGGTCGATTCTATACAATGAGGTTGATAACCACGGATTATACGCTTCCTGACAATCAAGAATTAGCATCAATGACCAGTCGTCCAACGTTCAAGTACCTAACGCCTGGATGTTCTCTTGGTGTCCAGAATATGGTATTCTTTACGGAATACTCCGTAGTCAGCTAGCCATTGCCAACTCAAAGTGAGACAGGATGCTCGGGCCATTGTAGCATGCATTCTGCATAACCTGGTAAAGCCACAAGATTCTCGATCTCGCCCGAGACATGCCACAGAGATGAGAGACTAGAGTTCTTTCCTCCCCTGGCTGGTCTCTGACGTGGGCTCTTTGTTCTAGACGGGATATTCATAGGTACTGCATGCCAACAGACATTCCTGACGTGCATTTCCTGCGCATGTTGTTGTATCCCCTTTTCCCCTTTCAGGTTTGTCCTCCCTTGGGGGGGGGAAAGAGAGACTCTGGCCTGGGCTTTTGCATTGCGCAAAGACCAGCTCGCGGGTTGAGAGAGTGAGACTGCGACGGGGCTGGCGCATAAAAATAGCAAATTTGAGGAATATTAGCGAAAAGGCGGCGTTACTATGTGGGTGTTTGATGAGGAAGCGAAAGAGGCCGGTGTCAGACCACTTTGTAAGGTGACCAAGGTACCTTGGTCCTCGGGTACGGAGGAGAGTACCGGAGTACTCTGTATCCTTTGGGCTCTGCCATCCTCCACATTTCGTGACAATTGGCGGACGTCATAATCACCAATCCTTGGTTCCCGGATTCGCTTCCCTCTTTAATCTCGTGGTCTAGGGATCTGTGAAATCGGGGCTGGGAAGGATCACTTTACTGCCTCCGTCGACAGTCGGACACAAACAAGAGCAGGTGGAAATGGAGAAAGGGAAGCTGTACATTCATGTCCGAGATTGTTTGGTGGAATTCCCGGCTACTGCGTACCTAGGGAAAACCGTGAATGTCCGGATGGTACCTTCCCGCTCCGCTGATACCGCCGACCAGATTCGGTAACAACAGAGTACCTTGCCTTACCACGCTGATCCCCGCTGCTAACCGGCGACGAGACGGAAAGGGAAGGCCTGGAAAGGGATGCCAGACAGGTCTTTCAGTGTTGCAACTTGCATGCCTGGGTCCTGCATCAAGTACAGTGGCCACGGCAGGCAAAAGAACTCCCGCAGCCGAACTTACAAATTGGGAATAACACCGCGGCAGTCTACTCCAGGGCTGTTGAGGGAAAATGGGACAGGTCACTGCAGGAGAGTCAGAAAAGGAGAGGGAAAAAGGACGAGACCAGACAATTTGGGCTGAGTTGGAACAAGGCAAGCAATGCCCTCAGGTCAGGTTACAGGCTTACAGCCCCTGCGCCTGCCCAATGAAAGAAGCCCAAAAGGCCCCAGCGCGGGTGCCCGAATTTTTGGCTTCCGCTTGCCAATCCCACACCAGTGGACCACTTGTACGGAGTGCCTGGGCCCACACTCCCCCCTCGCACCTCCCCCTCCAAAGTGCGGTGCTTTTGGTCACTTTCGGTCATTTTGGGTGTGGTTTGGGTGGGAGGGAAAAAAAAGTGTCCGCTGCCCATAGCCATGTGAATGAAAAGTCACTCAGGTCGCTCTGGCTGACATGGCCTGGCCCTCTGGTTGGTCCGCTCACCTTGTGTCCGCCACTGTCTGACTATGGTACCTACCACTTGTACCTACCTTACGCCGAACCCCCCCTGTACCCAGCCTGTGGGTGGCCTGTCCCGACCGAAGGAGGAACGGCTTGGGCGGGCTGAATTTTCTTGAATTTGTTAAACCTTGGAGCCGGCCTGTTTCCATTCGATCCTTTCTCCTTTCCCTTTCTTCAACAACACCATTTTGGTGAATGCAACCACTCCTCCCTCTGACAATGCCTTGTTGACTGACCGACTACTCAAGAAACCCGATCAAACACAAATGCCTAGTAAAAACGACACTTACGACATCACTTGCTCATTGTTCCGCCGCCAGATGCGCCGAAACCCGAGCCACCAAAACCTCGAGAGAAACTACAATTCTGACCCCCGCGACGATCCCGAGCGACGACGAGGCACGATTTCCGTGCTTCACTCCTATCCATAACATTCATAACCCTCCTACCAAAGTGACGCCCACTACTGGTATAGGGCGCGACCGGGACACCGACGCGCGCCCCTCGTTTACGAGCAACCCATACTTCTATACGGAGCGGCCACCTTAAATCTTTCCCGTAAACCACCTCCACCACCACAACCCGAAATATGATTGCCAAGGCGACGCCCGCACTGAACACGGTGCGCGGCTTCCAGAACACCCCCGTCACCTCCGGCGACGAGGACTCCGACTACGGCGTCTGCGCTACCCCGCCTCTCTCTGCGAAGCGCTCCGGCCGCGCCGCCCTCATCGACGATGTCGTCAGCGCCAACTGCAGCCCCAACATGCGAGGGGCCTCCTCCCCTGCTGTCTCGGGCATCGCCAAGCTGCGCTTGCAGATGGAGCCTCTCAGCTTGGACAACTCCTCCCGAACGAGCACCTTGACCCTCAACGGCAGCAACGGCCACGCCGGCCTTTCCAAAGGGTTCGGCATCAGCAGCGCTGTCATGAGCCGCTGCGGGAGTCAGGACGGCAGCCAGAGTGAGGCCGGCAGCGAGCGTTCCGAGAACGGGTCTACGAGCTATGAGGTCAACCTGGAACATGACTACGTCGATGAGAGCGTGCGAGAGCGGAACGGCCACATTGTGCCCATCGAGGGTAGCAAGGACGTCCAGCGTAAGATGACGGCCGACGACTTTGAGCCCCTCCGATGCCTTGGAAAGGGAACCTATGGTACCGTGCTTCTCGTCAAGCAGCGCAACACCGGCCGGCTTTACGCCCAGAAGCAATTCAAGAAGGCTTCCCTTACTGTGCACAAGAAGCTCATCGAGCAGACCAAGACGGAGCGCCAGATCCTGGAATCGGTCAACCGACACCCCTTTGTCGTCAAGCTCTACTATGCCTTCCAGGACCACGAGAAGCTGTACCTGATTCTCGAGTACGGCCAAGGCGGAGAGCTTTTCACTCATCTGAGCACCGAAAAGATGTTTGCCGAGCCTGTTGCTGCCTTTTACATGGCAGAGATGCTTCTGGCCATCTCGCACCTGCATAGCACCCTGGGTGTCGTGTACCGTGACTTGAAGCCCGAGAACTGCTTGCTGGATTCCGAAGGCCATCTGCTGCTCACCGACTTTGGCCTTTCCAAGGTTGCGGTCGATACTTCAGAGGACCACTGCAATTCGATGCTCGGAACTGTCGAGTACATGGCCCCCGAGGTCATCCAGGGACAGAAGTACGGAAAGGCGGTCGACTGGTGGTCTTTCGGCGCGCTGGGCTACGACTTGATGACTGGAAACCCTCCCTTCCGCGGCGGCAACCATGCCAAGATTCAGCAAAACATCGTCAAGCAGAAGCTCGTCATGCCATACTTCTTGAGCCCCGACGCCAAGGATCTCCTGACGCGCTTGCTCAAGAAAGACCCGAAAAAGCGCCTGGGAGCCAACATGCCCAAGGACCTGCAGATCATGAAGGGTCACCGCTTCTTCAAAAAGATTGACTGGAAGAAGCTCGAAGCCAGAGAGGTTGAGCCGCCCATCCAGCCCATGATCACGGACCCCGAACTCGCCGAGAACTTTGCGCCCGAGTTCACCGACTTGTCCCTGAGCCCCGTCATCACGGCCAAGGACCCCTGGAGCGCCATGTCGGCCAAGGAGGATGACCCCTTTGGCGGCTTCAGCTTTGTTGCGTCGAGCAGCATGCTGGAGAGCCACGCGTTCCGATTCACCACCGAAGTCTAGACTGCATTGTTCATACACATCATCAGCAGCGTTACGCGAAAGAGTATAGAGAGACAAGAGGTGGTGAGATGTGAAGAAGATCTGGGAGTGCTAGGCGAACGGCATGGGAAAAGTCTGGGAGCCTCATTGTGAATTGGCGCGACCAATGGGTCGCGCGCAGTATGGAGTTAATGAAGCGAAACAAGACCGTAGAGCCCTGGGCACTGAGGGATTCCTGTCCTTCACTACCTGATTCGGTCTATGGGCGGCGGTATAGCGAAAGATCGGCATTGGGGTCTGTTGTTTTTCTCCGGCGCATCGCTAGTACGTAGTTTTATCTTTTTTTTGTCCTTCTTCGGCAGTCGTTGCACCAAGCATTGTGACGATAATATATACGAGCTTTTATTGTTTGACTTTTTCCTTCTCCCCTGGTCTGTATCCTTCACCCACAGGCGCGGACTCCCCCTTGTTTGGAATCTTACAGCGACAGGCGCATATCGCGCCAAGCTTTCATTGCTTTGCAATCCAGTGGCTGGGTTTCGTCCATGTGAATTGGCACCTTTCAAGCGTCGTCTGTCCACAAGGTAACGTATAGTCAACCGCGCGCGAGCGCTTGCTTGGCAAATCTACGGAGCCCATGGGGGGCGTGTAACGTGTAACGGCGTAGGTCCCAGAGCCTTGGAACCTCTTGGCGGTAATCTGAACGATGGATTCTAAGAGCCATGACTAGCTGCCGAGATTCCCAAGGCCTCGGGGGAAGATTTGTTACCTGGCGGCTTTTTTGCAAACTATCTTTCACGTTATTGACTGAAGAGTCTTCTTCCATCCTTGCCCGAAAAAAATAAACACCAAGAAAGGTAAAAGATGGGATTACGCAAGTTCTCACTGGTGATATTCTATCTTGCTTTTAGACTAGAAGCTAGTCTGCGACAGAGGTTTACCTCGGCATATTGTAAACCAGTGATTTGGGGATGTGTTTGTAAAGCCCAACATTGCTCCCGATTCCGAATTACTGCGTTGCCTTTTCTTGCCTTTGGCGTGGTCAAAGTCATCTACTGATGGGTAGGAGGTTTCGGTACACGGCAATTTCAATCCTTTAGGATCGATTTACGCAGATGAGAAGAAACAAGTAAAGAGATGGGCCGAGTGCTCCGGAGAATATACGGTGCTCCGCGTGGAGGGAGGGGTGCATATGGCGATTTCCTAGGACTTCGGATTGCTGGTTGTGAGGTACTAAAGCATATTGCCGATGCAATTCGGGGCCTGTTTTCTGGCTGCTGGACTGCATGATGAAGGATCTCGTTACTTTGGCATCGAATAAGTGTGCGAATTGTTTCATGAGCGAGGGAGGGCGAGGGCCATGTCCTGCGCGATGCTGACGATATCAATATCGGATGGTTGCGATGTCGTTGATGAGGAAAGGCTGTTTGCATTGTTTTTTTTTTGCTAATCGTCCCTTTCTTGGTTGTCGCGCGCAGACTGAGAAAAGGTCAATAGTGTATAGTGCAGATCAGGTCCATGTTTGACCCAATTGCCAATCTGTCAGAATCAGACGAGTAAGTCTCTTACCAGGGCACCATTGCTCGTTGGAAAGTTTTGACCACGTTGGATTTGGAAGAACAGGGCAAGACTAGATAGAACTTGGCGTTATTTGCGTGAATCTCGTACTCGCTTCATTCCTGACTGATATATAGCACCTCAGCCACGGAAACTGGTCTGTTCTCAACGAAGCTTAGACCAGGCTGACAGTGACGTGGGCAGAATGCTCGCTGCTAGGGATTCTGGCGGTGTAGTCTGGTAGTGACAAGCAATCGTGATCGATCCCTGAAAGCTACGCTGTTGATAGAGTATGCAAATAGTAAACGATCGGTCGACAAGACCAGTGCATCTGGCGGAACTATCGGACCCCGGAGCGCCAAATCCAACAGCGTCTTAGTCCGAATACAGACTGAGGCAACCGGGAGATTGGGATCCGTAATGTTACATTGTCCTGGGAACTTTTGACCCAACGCAGAAATAAGGTAGTCGGCTAGCTTACTCGTGGAGTCGTGGATCGTTGGAGTCGAAATTGATTTTTGACGTTTGCTCAGCCTCCACAAGCTCTGCCCTAATGGCTAGACAGCATGTCGTGGGATTATGAGCAAATCGTGGCAGTCGTGGTTGCGGAGGTGGAGTCGCTCCGGAGCAACTCAGTTACGGGACGGGATGATAGTTGCACCATCGCCTAGGCTCAGCGTTGCAATGGACCTTTTTCCCGACTCGCGGGCGACCCAGTTAGTGCCATTGCTGTGTAAGGCTGTTGGTCGACCTGGGGAAACGGAAGCAAAAACCTCCCATCGGCAAGGCGAAGCCCCGCACTCGGCCCCACACTGGTAACGGCTGCCGTATTGGGTCATCGAGATCGTCGCGAAAAGCCCAAATTCGCTGAGTGCTAGAGTGTGATAACAACATACTACATAGAGATCTTCGGGGAATTAAGTTTCCTTTAACGGCGTCGTGACGGTTTGGCACTGCCCGGGGAGGGTTTGCAGCATGGCGAAGCAGGTCGCCGGTGCTCTTGGAAAAAAACTTTGCAAGTCGTAACGAGTTGCTTTCATAGTTTCGCTGTCTTATCGCAACATCATCTGACACTATCCATACTGCAAGCATCAGCCATCCCGCTGCTGTATTGAACCCTGTTTGGGCTACAATGACCAGGAAGCTCCTGGGCTAATCGGGCTTTGTATAGGTATGTGTCTTGGTATTAGTTGTTGGAAATACCGATGGTGCAAAATGCAGCCGATGAATATAAGTCTGACTCTGTGATGCTTAGATTCCTGCCAAGTCGATCCTGTTGGCTCTCTCACTGGCTGTGGCAGATAGAGCCTGTGAACATAGGTACTAGAGATGACGAGTGCTGTCAAGCAGGAGCCATTTGGATGCTTCTGGCTTGGCGACGTGGTTGAAGCGTGGGGAAGATCCCTGAGCCACACCCAGTGACGCAACTTTGAAGCTGCTTTCGGATTCTTCACTGGCAACGCCCATGCAGGTTTCGATGTCTTTGAATTTGATCCACCTCAGTGTTTTGTGTGTTGTTTGTAACCTACTGAGAAACACCCAGCCATTACTGGCCGTAGGCGAAGTTCAGACTTGCAGCCTTGACACAAACAGACCTGCAAGTCAGCCGGTATACGTATCTAGCTCCCACGAGATGGAACGTAATACTTAACTTGTCTGTGTTGCAGATGTTGAATGGCTGCGCCGCATCTGAATGACACGACTTTTGGTCGTCCCAAGTTGACGGCAGTCATCTTGGGAATGCAGAATTCGGATTGAAAGGCATCATTACCTAAGCCAAGGAACAGTAGGAACCAGTAAATGCCTGCGCAACGTCAGACGAATAGACAGAACTGTATTGTCGTGAGCTCATACCTTGCAGTAGCAAAGTTTCATCTTCTGGACATGGCGTCAAGTACGCGCGGGTCGCAAGGCTCAAGTTCAAATCCTTCCGAGTTTGGCGAGGGGCTTGGTACCTCTGGTCATCCTAGTAGCGGTTCAGCAAAGTCTAGACTGATAACATCGACCACTGTCGGCGATCTGCCATCCTTCCGGCCCGTCTCTCAGTACTCTGCCCGCTTTCTCTAGCGGGCAACAATGGAACAAAACATGGAAGCATTGCGTGGCCTGCGTCGGTGCTGATCTTTTTGTGCCACTGTTGCCGTTTTAGTGACAAGATTTGGCAAATCGGGACGGGTGTACGGATGGTTAGTTGGACGGTTTGATCGTCTCTGCTTCCCTAGATCTGGTGCGCAGGCTTCACCAGTCCGTGAGCCTTTCTCCCACCCACAAGGTCAAGCAGAGACCGACTTACACGTGGTTGGGTATCGAAAGGGTCGCAATCCTCGGCCAGCGGAAGACGAGCCTTGACCGACGATGGGAGCTTGAAGCATTCCAAGGATGAGGCCTCGCGGGAACGAAAATAGGATTGCCCATCCTTTCGGTGACAGTGAAGGCGTCGGGCTGAGACGCAAGAGCCGGGGGGATGTTAAGAAATGCCGAAAGCTGCGGCTACTGTCAGATAAGCCCCTTCCTTGGCGACAACGTACATCGTCAGCAAGCCTGCTGGAAGTACTCGGCGATAAGCTATAGGAGCGCAATGTGAGTCGTGAGAGTGGTCAGCCTTGATGTTGAGAGATTGTAGATGAGCACAGATCTCGAATCGCCGCGTACCTTGGTGATGCCGGCTGAGCACAGGTCTCGCTGCATGTTCTAGGCACTTTCCCTCTTGATACACCGGATTGTCTTAGCAGGCGTCATGAGCAGCAAAGACCCGAATTTCTCTTGCCGTGAGTTAAAGGTACTTGGATGAGGTGCCATCTGTGTACGTACACAACATCTCAGCCAACATGCAGGTGCATCTCGGCCTGTCTCTCCCAACTTCCCAAGTGCATCATGCGCTTTGCAACAGCTGTCACAGTATTGGACAAGGCGCATGGTGACGATGAATGCAACCCGAAGGTGCGGCTTGGTGCGCTTACGGTTTACCCTAGCGATCGGTGCTCCGTTCCACATTCTTTGTCTTTCCTCTGGTTCAATTCGCCATCTACAGTCCAAGCCAAGAAAACAACATGGCATGCTTGCGTATGCTTTTCTCACTCCCCAATGTCCGATATTTCTTCCCTCTACTGTGTAATACGGACAATCCCAAGAAACACTGTTTCTGACCAAGGCTTATGGCAGCAGACACCTCAATCACCCACCCGCGCGGTATCTTTTTGCCTCCGGGAGGCTGAGCCCGCCAAGCACGTCCAATGGTCTGTTCACCTTGACTTTCGCTCTCTTCCCAACTTCCCAGCATAGTCGTGGTCTTTCAGCAAACTACGCACGCGCATATGCAGGGTATCGAGGGCCATCACCGCCAGGCGTTTCGTTTGCAGTTTCTCTTCGCCTGCCAGGCCTACAGGCTACAGGTACCTACTCCCCTACCCTCTTCTCTCATCTTGTTAGAGTTCGTGCCGAACAACTACTGCCCACGGCCCCAAGAAAGACCAGCAGAAACACCCTGCCAACCCGCTAGTCCCATCTGCGTAGAACTCTGCTGCTTCCCGCCAGGATGGTCCCGGCCCGGACCCTTCGACGGCCATGCTCTGGATGGCATCTGATTGCTCACACAAGTTTGCGACTCCCTTACTGGGCCAGCAAGCGGAACTCTCTCTGGCCAACTCGTCACTGACTACCTTGTAAATGCCAAATATTTATGCCACTGTGTCACAGCAGGTTCGGTCAAGGACTCAATGGGAACCAGATGCTCTCTCCCAGCAGTCCCGGACGGACCAGGACTTCCCCTTCGGCATCGCGGGGGCTGGGCTAATCTCTTTGCCCAATCATATCCTTTCCAATTCTGTCTGACGCCCTAAAAGAGAGTAGACCGCATCCAAGACACGCTGCAAGGAGTCAAATTTATGACCAGGGGCGCCTGTGCCTGATTAGTCCATCTTCCCATTTTTTAGGCTTTACTGGCCCGGGGAACGTGTTGAACCGACCGGGTCCGTCGACGTGGGCCCAACTCCCAGTTTCCCCCATGGCTGGCTACCTTTCTCTACGACACGAAGCTACCTACCTAGCTACTTTCTGTGCTATCAAGCCTACAGCAGCTCCTCATCTGCGTGGCTGTGTTAGCCAAGATGTGCCGCCAGACACATGCTGATCCCTAGCCTTCTCTAGAGCGCCTTTAACAGATTTCACCG